TTCAAGGATTCATGCCAGGGGGAATGCTTTATAAATAATAATAATTACAAATTACTAATAAAGTTTTATATATAAGAGGATTTAAATATAGATAAATTTCTATAGGTCTTTCAAGTGAAACAGATTTAAATTACACATTTAAAGTCCAAAGACTAAGAATTACTATCCCCAGTAACAGCAATAACAGAATAGATCCCTGATAAACCAAATAAATAACAATATAAAAATACAAAATACATACATACAAAAAGCCTGTAAAATTTAATATGGTACATGACAAAACCAAAAAATGGAAAAAGCAAGGTGTATAATATGTGGTATAATAAACATTAAAAATATGATAAAAAGTAATAGCACAACATAAAATATCATTAAAATGTGAAATTTGCACAATAATGTATATAACTGCACATATTTTTAAAGCATTCAAAATCAATAAAAAGTAAATTTGTTAAATTCTGGAATTGATCCATAACTCTGTAATTAAATGAATGTCTAGCAATATTCAACCTGGGACAGACAAACATGTACAGTTTTGGGTATAGAGTGTAGGGATATGCATAAAAATATAATCAGGAAGAATTCCTTAAAATACTTAAAAAAAGCACACAGTTGAAAAATGCAACATACTGCTCAAAAATTGGAAAGCCCAGTCTTTTCCTTGCTTCAGAAATGGAACTGATAAATGGAAGATTACAAAGTTTATTAATGAAAATGTAAACTTTGTTTAACTCAAATGATACCTTGTACAGTAAAGAAGATGCAGCACTAGACTATATATAATAATCAATAATGAACTGGAAGTTTACAAAGATAAAGATCTATGAATAGTGCAGAGATGACTTGATAATTCCTTTTTTGCTTTGAAAATTATGTCCAAGTTATTGATAAAATGAACATATTTAATTTGAAAGCCACACTAGAGAAATCAAAATTATGTGGGTCTCTGGCTGATGAATATCACATAGCAAACATTTTAGACAAATTAATAGCAAAGTTGTGGCCATCATTTTCGATGCAAAAATGTGTATGTCAGATGTTCAACGCTGTCTTCCTGTAAGCCTAGAAGTTTGACAATGGCATTTGGAATGTCAGTGGAATCATGCTCAACATTCCAAATGCCATTGTCAAACTTCTAGGCTTACAGGAGGACAGTGCTGAATGTCCGATGTACACATTTTTGTGTTGAAAATGTTGGCCATGACCTTGCTAATATTTAAACTAAATAACAAAAAATTTTCAGAAACTTTATTAAGATTTATTAGAAAGCTTCTTGCCTGTATTACTAATTTACAAAAAACATAGTTAATTAGAATTAATGAACCAAACTTATTATACTCCTAGTGTATTTAATTAGCTCTTTCCAAAATGCATTTTGGCTTTTCAATTGGATAACTTAAAAAAAACAGAGTAAAATAGACTGTTTTTTGATGTTACCCAATTGAAGGACCAAAATGCATTTTGGAAAGAGTTAATTAAATACACTAGGAGTATAATAATGTGACCAAAGGGTTGGCATCAGATCAGCGATGCTTATATCAGGATTGACACCATTGTTGCTCAGTGTGAGCATTTTATTGTTTCACGAGTGGTTGCATATGTAAGGAGTTAGATTCAGGATGGAGGATGACTGAGAAACAGTGCTTCTGAAGGAAGTGCACACTACAACTCAATTACAAAAATAATACCTGTTTATTTATTTACATTTAGATATGTTTACAGAAAATGAGCATTTCCGTTTTAGCTTTTATAGCAATAAGCAATGGCTAAAGCTTACATAGCATAAGATATTTAATAGATTCCTTTTTTTTTGGTGAAAAAAAAGGTACTATCATAATTGGACTTTAGCCATGAGAGAGAGAGATTTACATTTCTAACACAGCGATAAATATTGATAAATATAAAACTTGATCAGTCGATTCTTGATTTACGTCACTGTTATGGATCATTGACAAATGGGTAGAGAAGTTCAAGTTTGTTAGGTCAGTCTGGATAGGGGTCCTGGATAGTATTATTTGATTGTCTGGCATTAACAGCTGCAGTCTGGAAAATGGCGGCGGCAGATGGGATCAGTGGGAGGAGCACAGCTGGAATATCCTTTCTCAAAGAGGTGGATCGGTAAACTCTTCACTGTTGTCATCAATTCTATTGTTTTATTTTGGGAGTCCTTTCTCTCGATTTTTATGCCCTTTTCAGGCAATGTTAAGTTTTTCAACCAAGAAGTGAATTTCGGTTGTGAAGTTCCCAGAGACACATTCAATGTGTCACATTGGAAAGGAAGTGACTCCGGGTGAAAGATGTAATCATATCCTCCCATAATTAATTAATGTTGGGAAAAATATTAAGAAATTTTAATTTTGAAAAAAAATTTTTTTGTCAAGTCCTGGCCCTCACAATAAGTCTGATTCATTAGTTCTAATTAACTATGTTTTTTGTAAATTCATTAAGATTCTTTTAAAGGTTTTGTAGTTTAGCATTAATAATTTTTGATTCATTGGTATAGTCAATAATTTGTGAGTTTAGTTTGGGGAGTGCTTTATAAATAATAATAATAACAAATTACTAATAAAGTTTTATATATAAGAGGATTTAAATATAGATAAATTTCTATAGGTCTTTCAAGTGAAACAGAAGGTGGTGATAAAATAGAAGGTGAAACTATTAGTATAGATAATGGAAAATCACCTTCTTGTTGGTCACTTAAAAGGTAATGATCTAAAATATTATTAAAAGTACTTCAACTATGAGAAAATGATTAATTGTTTAAAAATTTTTTAGGAAAGTAATTAGTCGTCAAAATCGTAGATTGAGAAGAATATGTAGAAAAGCTGTAAAATCACAAGCATTTTATTGGATTGTGATAATTCTTGTTTTTATGAATACTCTTACACTTGCTTCTGAACATTATGGTCAGCCACTATGGTTAGATCATTTCCAAGGTAATTTTTATTGATACATGATTATTTTAGTAGTAATAAATTATTTGTAAATGATTTGTACTTTTTAGTTTACATATGTTGAATAATTTATAATTTCTATTTTTATTATAAATGAAAATCATGAAATATCAATTGTAAATTATAAGTCATGAAAGTTTATTGTTATAAAGTACAGGATATTTATAAATGACAAGAACAATTAAAAAATTTTTAAAAAGTAACAAGCACACAGTAATCAAATCTACACGATTTTAACATATTGAGTACCATTCAGATCTACATGAGCTATTATTTAGCTTAAGGATTTTTATATACTTGACAAAATGTTTATTTAAACAGAATATTTTTTAATGTTTGGATCATATCTTAATTATTATATGGAAAATATTATCCTCATAATAATTTTTATCAGAAATTTTAAAAGTACAGTCAGAATTATTAGATTTACTTGAAATGCTTCAAAATAGTTTTAATGCACTGGTAAATCACACAATCATGACTACTAAAGTCTGTGCAGCAAATGAGTAGACATGAGTCAGCCTGAGCTGAAAGGGTCTCTGTCACATGAAAAGAATGAAAGGAAACTTGTGATTAACATATGAGTTATGTTAGAATTAAGAGTAATTAATCCTTAATCCTTTCCATAACTGCAGTGTCATAATAACAAACCCATAGCCATTAAATATATAGTAACTAACATTTATTAATCTAACATTTTCAGTCCTTTTGATTGACTATATTCAGGAAAATACATAAAATTTAAAATTTCACAAAAAGAACAAAGCCATCTGTATTCCAAAATAGTTTTTATAAGCTTCTATTTTAAAACTTTTAAATTCATATATTCCAAAAATGGAAGCTTATAAAAACCATTTTAGAATATGGATGGCTTTGTTCTTTTTGTGAAATTTTAAATTTTATGTATTTTCCTAAAGATGATCAATCAAAAGGACTGAAAATGTTAATGGTTACAAGTAGGCTATTTTGTTTATTTACTTGTTTTTTTTCAAATTGCAAGTTTTAATAATAGATAAATTATATAGCACTAAAATAATAGAGAAATAAAGTACAGTAGAACCTCGATTATCCGGACTAATTGGGGATGAAGGTAGTCCGGATAAGGAAAAATCCAGATAATCGAAACAAATACTTTAATTTGTCTTTTAACGATAATACAACACGTTTTCTTTTCAATGACATATCGGTAATATTAAAAATAAATACTGTATTTAAATCGTGATCAAATTTTCAAGAAACAAATGTTTTATTGAATTTGGACTACTACTGACCAGTGCTAACAGACTAGCTATTGTTTAAAAGGCCCTCTGGTGGCTGAAGAAGACGGATTTTATAAAATAAAAAGCAGTTGAAACTGCATTTTTATGAATAAAAATTTGACAAACTATTTATCGTTTTATGACGAGTAAAATTTTTTCATCGCGTTCGCGGCTTTTAAGTAATGCATAAACCTTCGAACCGCGAGGCATAGGCGGTGGCCCATGTTGCCCATGCCTTATGCCGCCCTTGGTTATAGAAATGATGTAATTTGAATATAAATTATTTATAAATATGTATGTCAAGTTATATTTTTATTACGACACAAAATATATTTAAGAGTTTACGACCACTGTGCCGGGTGAGACATTGTTGAAACAAAAAATGTTATGCATTCCATCATGTACATAAACAGTGTCATAATTCGCCAAGTGCAAATCAGCAAATTCGTAAAATTTTTGTTTATTTTGAACAATCCGGATAATCGAAAATCCGGATAATAGAGGTCCAGATAATCGAGATTCTACTGTATTTATATTTTAGAAATTTATTATCTATTAGATGTATTATATTTATTTTATATTATCTATTATATTTGATGTATTTGAGTTTTTTTAAAATGTTTAAAATTTGCATTTTAGTTATTTAACAATAGTAAGTTATTAAATATGTTTAATAGATTATATTAAAGCAGTGGTTCTCAATCTATTTTATCTCGTGGCTCCCTTAGAGGCTTGTTTAACTTTGTGGCCCCTTCATTTGGAAAGTTACATTTGAATTGAATGGTAAGCAAAGATTGGATTGAGAACTCTGGGATGATAAATAAAACTAAAAAATATTGGTTTAAAAATAAATATTTTCAATTTCATTAAGTATCATTTTGTTTCTTGAGGAAAATTCCTTTATTTAAAATATTAAAAAAAATCCCAATTTCAAAATTACAATAAAAAAAATAAAAACAAAAAGTTAAAACACCAAAATAATTAATAAATATAAACTAGAAAAACATTCCACACATTTCTTGTCTGCAAAAAAAGGTATTAAAATAAATTTATCTATATCCAAGAGAACTGCATATTTCAAATTATACAATGTTTTTTAACATCATTTAATAATCTCTCAAAATATAAATTTATAATGTAGTGATTTTAACCTTACTAATATTTTTTGGTCTTTGACAGGGCCTAATTTTAATTCTGTTGACTATGATGAAGTTTTTTTATTAACAAAATTTTTTGTTTTTAATCTTACCAAAAATTTTTATTTCATACACTTGGCAAATACTATCTTGACCTAGCATTCACTAACAACTGTCAACTCACTGCCTACCCTCTTCAAGGATTCATGCCAGATAATAAGACAGTTGGTCTTGACATCTCTAATTGTTCTTTATCCTGTAATTCAAAACAGTTTGTCATACTTCTTTTATGATCTAGTTTCAATTACAAGCTTGCTTTAAACTATATTTCCTCTATTGACTGATCGTGTCAGGATAAAAATCGTCTGTCATGCGATTTTCCGTGCTTTTCCATTTGTTCGACGAACAACAGTTGTCGCCATAGAAACGACAATTGGACCACTTTTGATAATTCGACCGCTGATTGGTTGAGAGACATCGGACCATCAGCGGACGTCTTGTAGTGCTACTAAGCGCTGATTGGTGGAAGCCGATTGACTTCAATCCATATAAAATGATTGAGTTGAATTTTGAACATAAATGTCTCATTTTTGTTATTTGCATAGATATCTGTCAGGTTTTCAACTTCTAGTACTAACCTTACTAAGCAAACAATTCAATTTAAATCCCATACATCATTCTTAGTTAAATAATTACTTCCTTGCATTCTCTAAGAAAATAAAAATAAGTCATTTTGAATTTCTTGAATCTCTATCTGATCTGTGACATTCAGCATGGATCGATCTTAAGCAGCCTTTTTTTTCCAGTTTATATTAACAACATTTTCAGCCATTTAATTCATATGTTATAGCCTATGCTGATGATATCAAACTAATAAATCATGATCCTGTTTCTCTACAATCTAAATTTAAACATACTATCCAAATTATTTGAAAAGACCAACTTAAGAATTAATGCCCAAAAAACTGTTGCAATGTATGGTACTTTTCATTAACCAAAAATTTCTCCTCTCTGTCCATTACTCATACCAAATGTATAAAATATGTCAACTCTGTAAATGGTCTAGGCATTATTTTTTGATAGTAAACTTAGTTTCAAAAATCACATTAACAGAATAGTTAAATCCCTTGCCATTTGAAGTGGAATCCTATGGAGATTTTTCCATTTCATATTTTTAAAAATTGTTTTATCATCCACTTTCTTAGCTAATTTTTAATCCACTATTGATTATTGTATCCCAATCTGGTTGATGGCTGCCCCCTCTCTGTAGGAAAACTTTACAAAAGAACTAAATAAAATATATCTAACCTTAATAAATTCTGCAATCTATCTTTTACTAGCCACCCTAATGTTGCTAGGTCCAGTTTTGGTCTTCTCTTATTTACTAATCGCATAAAATATTTTGATTAATTACTATAACATAGATATTATAATGGACACATAATGTCCAATTGAGTTAGATTAGGTGTTTCTTCATGCAATTTTTATAATTTTTCAAGCATATATATATATATATACACTATTTTAGATTATTTCTCTCTCAAAGATCTTGTTTTTACTGGATATCACAAAATATAGGAAGATCTGAACACTCATTACACATTGATTATTGCTGTTTCAAAAAAGCTTGAAAACAAATATTATATAATTCTCAACTTTTTTATTGTTTTTTTATTTTGTTGTACTTTAATCATTGTATTTTATATATTTCTGTTTACTTTAATTGGGATTTTAATGTTAATTAGGGGAGAGAAAATCTATTGTTGCAATACTTTTCCTAATGTAGCCTAATTGAAAATAAATAAATATAAATTAATTAATTAATTTTAAAATAGGCAAATGTTAAAAAAAAATATAAAACTTCAAAATATAAATTTTAGTGTTGAATTAAGATTTTTAACACAAGTCTTGCAGCTGATGAGAAAAAGCAAGTTTTTGTATATTTAGCTCTAAATCTGTTAAATATAATCAAAGATTTCATTTTTAATATTCAACCTGTTTTGATCTTTTGATATCAGATGAATGATGCTACTAAAATCTGATTCAACCAAATAGGAACTTATAAAAGTTTTTTTTTTTTACTTGTCCCAAAGCTGAGGGAATTAATTTCTTTTCAATTTTTGCAATAATCTAGAAATTGTCTTGATTGTTCTCAAATTTTACTTGGCATACTGAATCACTCTGCTGATCCAGAAGATATTCTTGTAATTTCCAATCCATATTAGCTACATTTACTTCAAATGGATCCACTACCCATTCTAGCACTTTCACTTCTAGTAGGTCTCTGAACCTTAGTTGAAGAAAGAAAATGTATATGATAAAATGAAACTATGTCTTCCTTGTTATTGGATTTTCAATTAGGACTTCTATTATTTGACTCTACAAATTAATTGGTATAAAATAGGAAATAAATTTTTATATTCTATGTTGTAAATTAGCATGAGTAGTCCAGTGGCCCTCAATCTTTTACATTTTTTTTTCTGTTGCCTTCACAAAAAGTACCATGGCTTCCTGGGTGTGTGTATCCATGACTCCCTGTTGAGAACTACTGTATTAAAGAACTATATTTAATCAAAATGAAAACTTTGATAAAATATAATCTTTTATTATAGTTTATTAATCATTTTCTGCTCATTTAATTAAATTCTTTCTATTCATTTTAATAATTTTTTATTTTTTGCTTTCAGAAGTTGCAAACATGTTTTTTGTAATATTATTTGCATTAGAAATGATCCTGAAACTATATAGCCTGGGCTTCCAAGGTTATTTTGTTTCTTTATTCAATCGATTTGATTGCTTTGTGGTGATAAGTTCCATTTTGGAATCTGTCCTTACATATACAGATATAATGCCTCCTTTAGGAGTTTCTGTTTTGAGATGTGTTCGTCTGCTTCGAATTTTTAAAGTGACAAAGTAAGTATCATAATTATAAATTAATTCTATTAAATAAATCTGTTTTGTTATATATATATATTAAACTTGAAATACATATTATATATGTTTAATAATTAAAATAAATTTTATTACTATTATATTGATATTACATATACAGTATAAATTTTTTTTATTTGTTAAGTTTTTTATTAGTTTGTTTATTTAATAAGCACATACTTCTTTTTGGAAAAAAGCATTTTTAAAGCAACTTTTTTTGTGTGCAATTTGTAAAATATAATTTGTAATTTAATTAAAATAATTGTAATAATTTATATTTTAAACTTAAATTCCTAGAGTGTATAAAGATTTGCTTCCTTATAGCCTACCATAATGTAACCAAAAATTTCTATAGTAGCTTAACATTAAACAATATAGAATCATATGTCTTATTCAAATAAATTTTTAATCAAGTATATTTTTGTATTTGAGTTTACATAACATTTATCTATAACATAAGAAGAAAACATTTTCAATAATAATAAAAAAAGTACAATTTTAACTAATTTCATAAATGTAAGATGTTTTATTTTCTTAATTTGATTGGTTTGGAACACCATTGGTTTGGTATGTCCATATTAAATCTATGATTTTAGTAAATTTTACATAAAAAACGATTGTTATATTATAAAGTACCGTATTTACTTGGATATAAGATGAGGTTTTTATTCATTTATCACAGCTTCAAATTCCTAGGTCATCTTATATGTGCAAGCGAAAGATTTTTTGTGTTTTTGCAGATAATTTTTGTGAATTGTGTATTTGCATTTTTTACTGAATTCTTACCCTCTGATATTTAGAAACATAAGTGTTTTATCTGGGTCGTTTGAATTGTTCTTGTTTATTGTCGGAAGCAGTGCCAGCCCAAGGCAAGTTTTAGGATGGAGTGAGATCCTATTATGGCATCTGGGGGTGGAACCCCGCCCATGCACTCGACCCATGCGTGTCTCAACAGATAAGGCCATTCACATACTGGCCACATGCTTGCAATTAAAATATTGAAAAGTGAAAAAAATATTTTTTCCTTTAATTTTCTTTACCACTGAGGTGCCCCCTAGGACTTAGCGCCTGGAGTGGCCATTCCATTCGCCCTATGGTAGGGCTGGCTTTGGTCAGAAGTAAAGATGAATAGCAATAGGAGAAGCAAAGCTTATGAATTGAATTCCAGATTAAAATTCCAAAATCACATGGGAGCCCGATATAAGATTTAATTCATTCCCATGCGAAAACAGATGATTATTCGGAAATCAGAATTCAGAGAAACTCATAAGTGTAATCGACAGAGAGCGGATTCGACTGTTAAAATTAGCGAAAAAAAAGGTTCCCGATTGTCCAGCTTTACATAAACAAATTATGTTGTCGATTTTACAAGATTTTTCATTAAAGTTTAAAATGCCAGTAATTTTTGCAGGACAATGTGTTTATTTACATTCATTTGATATTTTACTTGTGATTACATGAAATAAAATTATAATTGTATTACTAAATCTAATTTTCTTTATTGTGATCTTTAATTAAAGTCACACCTTGTCCTATACGCGAGGTCATCTTATATTCAAGTAAATATGGTAACTTGTAATGAATCATACTTGGTATTCCATTAAACCCTTAACAAATTCCACATTTTTTTGATTATATTTATAGTGCTATTTATAGTTGCTTTATTGTTATAGAGATTTGCATTTAATTACAAAAATGTTTTATTATGTTTTGGCACTTATTTCATTTAAATTTTTATACATAAAGCAATTATTATAATAAAATACAAAATTCAAAAACAAAATTACTGTTTAATTTTTGTTGAAAGTTATATGCATTAGTTATTAGATATGCAGAGAAGAGCATGCAGTTAATACATATAGTTATATACAACTGAATGCAGAATATTTTCATGTTATCTGGTATATAATGGAAACTGAAAGAAACTAGAAATAGAACATAATTAATTGAAATCATGTTATTCGTGAAGTCAGAACACATTTGATATTAGAAGAGTAATAATAATAATGAAATAATGATTTAATTTTGGTAAAATTACATTTTGTATTAAATTTAATATTTAGAAATAAATAAATTAATTCAGATTATTTTGGAAGAAAAGATCATTTCTAAATGGGACTTGACACAACTTCTGCTTACTATTCAATTGTCAATTATGCTAACTGAACCTTTATTTGTAGCTTAGCCATATTATAGTTTGATTTAAAATCCAACAGTATTGTTTGATTATTAATTTTGATATTTTAATTCCTAAAATAATCAATAAAGGTATATAGTTTTAATATATAAGTTGTAACAATCATCTTTTATTAGCAAATATTTTGTTTATTATTATTAAAATTAAAAGCTAAAGTTTTATAGAATTTTATATATTTTAAAACAATAATATCATCTTTAATATCAGTTATTTAAAAATATAATTATATTTTAAATATTTTGCCTTCTCTTACAAAAAAATATGTAAAAGATTTTAAATAAATAATATCAAAAAGAGTTATACTGAAAACTTGTTTGCACATTAAAATCTTTCTTTTGTGTTTCTATCTAAAATTTATGTAAATGGTATTTATAAAGAAGTGTAAATGTAATCCAAAAACAAAGTACATTTATTTATATTTTAAGTATTTTTGTTGACTTAAAAACAAAATACCCTAAACCTTGGCTATAACCCACCCTCATATGTAAGTTGTAAAATGAATGTTGACTTTTTCATGGATAAGACTCTTTCCAACATTTTTGGGTAGCATTTCAGAATTAAAATCAATAGGAAAGGAACAATATCAGGAATAACATTATTTATGTAAATCTCACTGTGCTTATAGTAAAATTAAATGTATACCATTTTGTTAGATATTTTTCCCAATTTTTATGAATGCTTTAAAATTATTACTACTTATATATCAAAGAGAAACAAATGATCAGAATATGCATACTTAATTTTATCTCATATCAATTAGATTTTTTAAAATAAAATTGTATTAACTTTCTTGGCTTTTTCTACGAGCATTTGGCAATTTTTGACTACTTTTGAAGTGATTTTGGTGATTGCTGATTGAAAAAGTTTGACAGTTCTCTATCTTTCATATGTGTAGTTGGTTTTTATAATGATATATAGATTTTTCATGTATTTGCTGCCCTGTGCAAAAGCCTCACGCACTGAATTTTATAAATATAATCTTGTACAAGCTATGGAGTGTAGTCAAGGTTTTAGGATATTAAAAAATAGAAGAAACATTTTTAAAAATAGCAAATAAGAGATATTATCAAATTGTATTATTATAAAAATTATTGTTAAAACAACTAATATAGTATTGTATTTTTGTAAGTAAAACAGAACAATCAAAGACTAATAATTGATATTAGTAATATTTTATTTTAAAATTGTAATTAATTGTTATAAATAGTGTGTGTAATCAATACTCTGATTACTTTGCTATATTTGTAACTTTTGTAAAACTATACTTTAAGTTTGTAAATACAACCCCATTGTCAATGAATTTTTCACCAATTAAAACTTAAAATAATTCATGATACAATGCACAGATGTTTATTTTTGTAATGAAAATAATTTATTATAAAGATAAGTGATCATACATATATATCAAAAGCACAGATTTCAGGAAAATAAGTTGCTATTAAAATATATAATTTATAATCTGCAGAGATCTTGAAACACATTTCTTTGAACTTGTTCAATGTGTTAAGATTATATAATCACCATGGAATATCATCACCTTTTTGCTTTATAAGAGTTACAAGATGTTGAAGCATGGAAGATACAAACTTGTACAGCAAAGGAAATTTTGGAAATTTTTTTTCATTCTTCACTTAAATACATATGTAATTATTCTAATGCACTACAAGGATTGCATTAACTCATTTTTTTTACAAAAATCTTCATATACTATCGGAGACAGGCCCGGGCTTGATGCTGGCCAGAGAGTACAGTACATGTATATGATTAGACTGCAGCTAGATCTTGGTTTTCTAGCATTGTGCAGATGGATATCGTTGTGCAAGAAAATATAGGTTCTTCCTTCCAAAAGTTTGTTTGGATTTGTATAAATGTTGCTAAAAAATTAGAATATAGGCTTTAGAGTTTACGACACCATTACAGAAATTCAAATTGTCAACTTCCTCTGCACTCATGCATCCCCAAACAATTAGAGACTGTTGCTTCTAAATTTGTCTTGGATAACATGCTGGATTATTAACTTTATCTTTAGTGTGAATGGTTTTCTTGTTCATATTCCCATGATTTACATGAAATGTTAATTCTTTTGACCATAGTATTTTCTTTCAATCAGAGTTTGTCCACTTCAGATGAGTTCTGGCCCAAACTAAATGTTTGCACTCGCACAATTCATTTATGAAAGGTTTTCTCTTGGATTTGTACAACCTGTATTTGTATTGTCAGATATATCTCCTGTGCATTTAAATAATGGATATTAAGGTATATTCTTGTCTATTTTATAAACTTTGATATGGAAATTATATTGTTTTGGGAAATATAGCATCAAAACGACCATACTTGTCTGGAATTGAGAAGCAGTTTTCTTCCTAAAGCTCAAACCTTGACACAAAAACCTTTAAAATGCAGCCTTTTTATTCAATTTTCTAATGTTTTAGGCCAGTTTGAATGGCTTTTGTCAGGAACAGAAAAATCAAATGACTCTGATTTCTAAAATAACATTTGTTCTGGAACTTTTTAAATTTTTTTGAATTTTCTTAGATGTCTGGTGCTCAGGCTTCTTCCTAAAGCTTTTTCTGGATTAGTGTTTCCCCTTTTTCAAAAACATTCGATGATTCTCTAGACTATAGTACATCTTGCATGATACTGCATTTGAGAGACACTTTATACTTATTGATAATTATTTTCCTGGTTGGTTTTAGTACTCTCTTATATCTTGCCATTTTTCACAGACATTAATATGAACAGCTAAAGGTGACTTGCCTTTTATATGCTAGATGTGATGTAAGTAAAACTACAAATAATTTCCAAAAATTCTTTCTGAACTTCCTTTTGAACTTCATTGCAATATGTTGCCAGATTTGCATAGCTATTTATTTCAAACTAATGAAATCCAAGCTAGTAAGTTATTGGAATAAACTTTTATATTTAGAAAAGGAATTATTTATAACACTTTTGATTTAATGTACACAAGAGTTTGTAAGTTTATGTAAATTTCTGAGTTTTAATGGTGAACAAAGTTCATTGCAAGCAAGGTTGTAATAACAGATCAAATTCATTTTCATTTGTTAATATAAAATGGGCATTTTTACTTGTTTTTTTAATATCTTCAAAGATTTGAGTATAAATAAATAAATAATATGAGTAATGAATTAATTTAAACTTTAGTTTTAAATTTTTCAATTTGTTTAAATTAATGAAAATAATACAAATAGGCATATAAAAATTATAATTAAATCCAATTGAGCTAAAGGAACAATATATTAATAAAAAGAAAAGCATTCAACTTAATTGATTTATATGTAATTTACGAGTACTCTCTCTTAATAAATAAATTATCTTCCTCAATTAAATAAAACAGAACATTTGTTTTAAAAATTTTTATAAATTACAAAAATACTGTAATTAGTAAGAATTTTTCAAACAAGTGTTTTTTTTTCCTATTACATTTAATTTATATTCAATTAACATTCTTTGGCTTTTTATGACCTTTAAAACATTTTTTAACTTCTAGATATTGGGCTTCTTTGAGGAACCTTGTTGCTTCATTAATTAATTCCATGAGATCTATTGCAAGTCTTCTTCTTCTTCTTTTTCTATTTATTGTTATTTTTGCTCTTTTGGGAATGCAAGTATTTGGAGGAAAATTTAATTTTCTTAAAACTGAAGATAAACCTCGAAGCAATTTTGATTCATTTTGGCAATCTCTGCTAACAGTTTTTCAGGTAAAAAGCTTTGAAATATATAATTTATAAAAATGACATATTTGATTTTTTTAAAAATTAATTTAGATATTAACTGGTGAAGATTGGAATGAAGTAATGTATAATGGAATAAATGCATATGGTGGAGTTTCTTCAGTTGGAGTACTAGCTTGCATTTATTTTATTATTCTTTTTATCTGTGGTAACTGTATCCTTTTTTAAATAATTGTATATTAAATATATATTGTTTTAGAATTTTAATATTGTTAGCAAAGTTTGAAGCAGTTTAGAACAATGAGTTTAGATCAATCCTTAAAAATATATTTAGCAAATAAAAGAATTTTTAAAAATTATTTAAAAGTAAAAATATTGAAATTTTTTCAGAAATAATAAAAAATTGTGTTTTATGAGATACAAAGGAATAAAAATAAAGTAAACTGTCTGTTGACATTAAAGTTGTTTACTTGCAAAGTATTTAATTAAAAACAAATATTTTCAACTTTATAAAATGTCATCTTCAAGTTGAGCGTACACCATTTGAATTTTGTATACAATTTATATATATCATTCAAACATTTGTAATATCAAAAATATTCAAATGAATATATGTTTCTACTCTGAATGTTTGTGTTTTATCCATCATCTCACACTTGAAAAACTGATTTCTATTAGACAATTTGTTCTTTAGACAAATAAAATTTCTAAATTTTATTTGAATTTGTAAATTTTATTTGTCTAAAGAAATGTAAGAAAGTTTGATAGAAACTGCAAGGAAAGGGAATACTTTAAAATACCTTTTTAGCTGTTGCTTAGGGACATTTTGGGAGGGTTTTATTATTAAATTATTATTATTGTACAGTGGTACCTCAGGATACAAACACCCCAGCATATGAAATTTTCAGGATACGACATGAAATTCAAACATATTTTTGCTCCACAATACGAACAAAAACTCACCATATGACGTTACATTAGTTTGCAGTGCCATTTTTTATTCACTTCTGTTCATTGGTCTCAGTCTGCGTATTTGCTTCATCGTGGAAGGATCTCGCTCGATAAAGGAAATCTTGAGGTATTATCAGAAAGTGACTGATTTTATTGAAAAGAAACATCCCAAAAATGTTCACACTAGCCGTATTGCTGCTCGGAGTAATGACATTTGCCTAAGTAATTTTAGAAACATTTTAAAAAGTAGGCAAAGCCAAACCTCTTTGGATAGATATTTTACCAAGCGACCTCTATTCAGTAAAAGTGCTGGTGGAAGTGAAGGAAAGAAAGCAAAAAGCAGTGAATAAAAATAAAAATATATATATATATAAAACAACACAAAATTTTTTTTTAATCTTTTCTAAGTTATTTTTAAGTTATTGTTACATTGTTATGTAAGTTAAGTTTTTAGTATCATTTTCCTTCTCCCTCTCTTCCGCCACCAGTTTACATCTCTGCTGTCGTCTATCCTTGAAGGTAAAGTGCAAATAAAACTACATTTTTTTTAATCAATTATTATTCTATATGGTTATTTATATATTTAAAACTACAAAATGCATTTTTCAGTGTTTTCTTTACTATAGTTATTTTTTTAAAGTACTACTTAGCTTTAATTTGAGTGTGTTTTTCATGTTGGAACAAATTATTTAGTTTTATATGTAATTGTATGGGGAAAAATGATTCAACTTACATTTTCATGATACGATCTCAGTTTCAGAACGGATTAATTTCGTATCCTGAAGTACCACTGTACTTTTAATAGAGTATTTGAAATGCTCAAATTTAAATTTAAATTTTCTAAAATTTGAAATAATTATCTTGCATTCCATTATTGGAAAAATTAAATAAACTTATTACATCAGGCTGTGCCCTGATTCTATATTCTTTAGAAGAATAAATAAAAATTACTAACAACACAGTTCTATAAATTTAAAATAATTATATTTTAAATAATCAACTAAATTAATAATTCAGATATTTTGAAAAAGTTTAGTTAGCAACATTAGATACCTATTCTATACCATCAAGTACACCTTATTATTTATTTGTTGTGGTGTAAGGATGTTTTTATCACTATTGTAACACATATGGCTAAAAATTATCTTCTACTTTTTAAATGTTTGGAATTTTAAAATAATTTAAACATATTGTTTGACGCATTCCATATTTAAATTTGTACTGGTCAAAAGCCTGAGGAAGACCATGATTATGGTCAAAAACGTTAGTTTTAATTAAAATTTGTTGATACTGAGATATAATAAAGTTCTCGTGGGTTGATTATCCTTCCCAGTGATTCTGAGAGAAGTTGTTTTAAATATTTTTTTACTTATAATAATTATTTGCTTTTTGTCCAATATTGTAATAAATTTTCTGAACAGCTACATGTAATTTGCTATAAATTTTAAAGACTTATCACACCACAAATACAAATTGGAAAATATGAAAACACGAATTATAACCAACTGAGGAAGGGTATATGGCCTGAAATGTAATAAAATCTCAGTTAACTTTCCAATTGATAACTGTGGTGTGATACCGTGTTTCCCCGAAAATAAGACATCCGCAGAAAATAAGACCTAGCACAGATTTTGCTGAATTGCGAAATATAAGACCTCCCTCTGAAAGTAAGACCTAGCGAAGTTTATTTTTAGTCGTAACGGTCATCGACAGATGGTTGAAAGTGGCCATTGGCTTTTTGAAAGTACAGCCACTGATTGGTCAGCAGACAATTACGCCACACGGCATGATTTGCATAAGACTATGGCTTGGGAATCACAGATTTGCATAACGTTACGGCTGGTGATGGCTAATTGGTTGGCCGGGAATCACGCCACATGACATTTGCATAGTGCTACGGTTCAGTAAGCACTAATTGGTCATCGAGTCCGATGTTGACGCTATAAAAAGGCGACAGTTCGACACATCGGATATACGTCACTCTCGTCTAAGTTCGACTTGGGAATTTTTTTGTTCAATAATAAATGTGAATTCTTCCTCCTGGAAAAAATAAGACCTCCCCCTGAAAATAAGGCCTAGCGCACTTTTCAGAGCAAAAATTAATATAAGACACTGTCTTATTTTCGGGGAAACACGGTAAGTCCTTAAAATTTATAGCAAATTACATATAGTTGTTCAGAAGATTTACTTTTTTACTGTTTACTGTTGTATGATATTGATACCAAAATGTTTTTAAAATATCTGCATTAAATTTTAATATTTTCAAAAATAATTTTTGGATTATTTTTCTGAAAACTTTATTTTTAATTATAGAGAAGAATAAGATGATATTTAAGTATATTGTTAATAATTAAACAATAGTGAAGGTTCTTTCATGTAGAGTAATTTTAATGGTAAAAATATTAATTCTTTAAATATAATTATTTCTTAGATTTTATTTCATTTTCAGTTTGTAAAAATTATTGCATGATTAATTTTTATACAAAGAATTTATCTTTAACTATTCAGATATATTGTTGAATGTATTTTTAGCTATTGCTGTTGACAATTTAGCTGATGCAGAAAGTTTGACTGCTATTGAAAAGGTGATTTATTTAAGAACTTATAATTATATACATAATGCAGTAGAAGTTCATTAATCTGGCACCTATGGGTAGTGGTGTCATATTACTGGACATTTTTGTATTTTCACAAAATTCCATAAGTTTTATGTGATATGAATGTTGCAGACATTTTTTGGGATTTTTATTTTTTTCATGTTCTATTTTATGGTAACTGAGGAAGATCGGTGTGCTTGTATGGGCAGCAATTTCTTTATAGATGGAGGTTAGATGTTGGTGGGGCACAAAGATTGCCTTTAGGAGATCCAACATGGTATATGGGCTATTGTGCAATGGCAAAGACAGGATAGACAAAAGTCAGGCACCGGGTGTATACATGGTTCCCCTCAGAGACAACAGATTTCAAAGAGATTTAGTATATGTTGGATCCACAAAGTGCTCTCTAAGCAAAAGATTACAGGAACACAGTTATGATATCACTAACAAAAGGCATACCACCACTCTATCCACCTATGCCATAGACCCCAACATATGGACCAACTTTTTCTAACTCTTTCTGAGTTTTTCTCAGGAGCTACAACAGTTACCTGATGAAAAAGCAACTGAATGATTAAAACAACCGTACTTTTTCAGTTGCTGTTTCATATAAAAACCACATTTTTCTTGTTTCTTCATTTTCTAAATAAAGTTATTTTAACATGCGTCAATTTTATTATTTTTTTTCTTTTAGATTTATTCAGTGGTAGCTGTTAGCTACCTACATAACAATATACTTAGCATCCCTACATTAGGTAGCCAAGTTTTGTCACTGATTAAATCTAAAAATATGTTATATTTATAAAATATATTTTCTTAAATTAATTTATTTTAATTAAATTAAAATTTAAAATTTTTGTCTTTTTCATATTAATGTTTGAAAGTCAGGGAATACTCCATTTGTCTGTTCTGATCGAGTAACTAATTCCTGTCATATGCTCTCCTGCAACAAAACTGCTAAGCAGTGCAGTTGCAGAATCATATCAAGTATTTCATCATGTCATGAGATGCTGTGGCTGAACAAACATGACTGTTCTCTAAGTGGGAGGAGACACTGTTCTGTTTAACAGTGCTGCTGCAGGATGGTGCATGACATGCAAGCACTCTAACAGAATTGTTTTTATTCTGTATACTTTTTTCTGATTAGTGCTGGTTTTGATTTAAAAAAATTAATTTTAGCTGTGTATAGTAATTTAATTAATTACTATGTAATAAAAATCACAATGTGATTTTATTTTTCTTTTCTGGATATTGCAGTTTTTCAGTGTTTATTATGAACTGTTACCAGATTTCCAGATTTAATGTAGACATTTGTAACTTAAACTAAAAAATTTTTCAATTTTATCTTTTAAATAACTAAAATTTTATTTATAAAATTTAACATTTAGTAATGTCTTTACAATTTTAAATATAACAATTTCTGTTTTTAATTTTTATGATTATAATAAATCCACTAGTATTATAAATTTTTATTAGGAAGAGGAAGAAATTGATAAAATCCAAAAAAGATCATGTAGTGACATATCCATTCAGTCTGATGAAAATGAACATGAATTTAGTAACACACATATGAGTAAAAAGAAGAAGAGACGGAAAAACACCAATGAAGAAGTAGATATGGAAGAGACATTGAATATGGCAGTTACTCAATTGAATCATACACCTGTTGTATTATAGTAAGAAATTTTTGTATAATTGATGAAGTTAATTCATTTGTTACAATTTTATTTATAATTTTATATTATGGTTTTAATATGAGTATATTATTAATAAAATTAATGTTTAATTTTTAGCCCTAGAGAAAAAGATAAAATGGTAAGTAAATAAAATTTTCATTCTGTTATGAATTCTAACGAGTTACAATAAATGGCAATATGATTACTTAAATTCATGCATTTAACTGGTTTTAAATTACTATAAAAAAACATATGATATTGTTTTCAGAATGAAACAAAAATTTTTATTTTTGAAAATAATTTTTTTTTTGTACGTGACATACAGAATATAAAAGAAGTTCTGAGTTAACTTAAATTTGCACAATTTAGTAAAATTAAAATCTAATTTTTAAAATTTTAATTGTTACTTTTTATTATATATTATTTCAAATTGCTACTAAAATATTTATATACAAACATCTCTAAACCCGAAATATTAGTAATAAGCCATATGACTATCGGATTCCATTGGTCTGATTATTTTTAATTGATTTCTAAATAATTTGTCAATTGAGGGAGGTATTAGATGCCATCTCTTATTAAATTTAATACTGTAATTGTAATTAAATTAAATAATTTAGAAAATTCTGGAAGAAAAGAATCAGCCTGGAGTAAGGCTTGAACTTGCAACTCTTACTTATGGCGCTGACACTGACACTTAAGGACACTGAAGGTGTCTCCAGTTGGCGCTGTAAGTAATGAGGATGGTTATATCATAATTAAATATGTCTGAAAGAGGAGATTAGTCTGGAGGCTTGGGTAGCATAACTGGAAATGTATCCACATGGTAAGCAGGAGTTGCAGCTTTGAATCCTGCTTTGGGCCAACTCTTTTCTTCCAAAATTTTCTAAATTATTTAATTTAATTAGTGTTAGAAGAATGATGAGGCAATCCTTTAACTTAGAATTAAACTTTATTGTAATCTAAGACTATACATGCACTTGTTCACACATTCATAACTTGGCACGCAACCAAACAACAGGTCTCTTCTTGTTTCGAGTGGTCTTGCATGTGTGTTGCCAGTTTATATACAGTTTGCTATATCGACATGTACTTTAATTTAGTATTCCCTAAAAATTAGAGATTGGACCTAATGCCTCCCTCTAGTGACACATTATTTAGAAATTAATTAAAAATAATTGCAGAAAATTAGCCCAATGGAATCTGGTAATCATTTGGCTTATGACTAAAATATTTGTTTATTCTTACATTATTCATAATAAATATGTTCAAAGGAAAAATTTTCAAATTTATTTTTGTTTGATATAGTATTCTATATGAATTGTAAAACTTAAAATAATTTATATATCTCCAATTATCTTTCACAGCTTAAAAATATAGAAATTGCATGTATAAAATAAAATACTATTATAAAATTTTTTTGGATACAAAAATCTGGTGTACAAGAAATCATGTTCTTATGTAAGATTTGAATTTTAAGTGCATAATGCTTTTGAAATAAATAAATAATATAACTTAATAATTATGTATTCATTCTTAAATATTTATTTGCAATATTTATATGATAATTCAACTATTTTTAAACTTTTAAGTATTATTATAAATATTTATATCTATATTATAATTTTTAGGTCCATATTAAAGTTGAAGATACAACATTGAAAGACACAGATGTGCCAAAAATAAGTGTTCCTTTTGGTAATAAACTGTTATCTTTTTTGATTAATTATATAATTTACTTTTTTATATTTTAATGTTTATGAAGAAAATTCACACACATTCTGAATGGTTACAATGCTGCCCTCTCTTGAAGGAAGCATTGTAAGCATTCCTCTGACATCAACTGAAATGTACAGTACATTCATTGTTGATGTTCAGTGCAAGTTTCAACATGTTAACATTAACAAATCTGAGTTGATAGCAAGAATGTGATATGTAAGAGTGTATGGGGAGTGATGGATCATGGAAATGGAAGGTGAAATTTGAACAGCATTTTGTATCAAAGTTAATGAAAATACCAAGCAGAAAATTATGAAAAATCAAAATGGCTTATAGAGATAATGTTGTTTTGAGGACAGGTTTTATCAGATGGCATAAACCATTTTTTGGATGGCCAAGAGAATATGGAAGACCAACTTTACTCTAAAAGATCTAACATATCAAAAACAGATGAATTTGTGATCAAAATGAGGACTCTTGTAAAGTCTGATTGATGTTTGACTGTCAGAATGGTTATCTGTGAATTGAATTTGAATTACTTTTGAATCACCATGAATCACAAACCATTCATAACATTTTGACCAAGTAATTAAGCATGTGGAAAATTTCTGAAGCTGGTTCCAAAAAACCTTACCAAAGAACAACCGAAGGAATGTGTGTTTGGATCTTCTTGGACACATTAAAAATAAAAATTTTTTCAAACATATGATCGCAGGTGGATTTTAAAGTGTGGCTCTACACCATATTGCATGCTTTTGTCCTTTTGTTCTTCTGACATTTCTTCCTGTTCTTTGTTCTTTCCAACTTCTAGAACTATCTAATCTTAATTCTTCTTTCTTGGAGGTGAGGGCTGCTTCCTGGAATCCCCAGTACAATGAATATGAGGTTATCTGAGGGCATACAAAGCAAAGGAAGATCACTTTTTGGCTGGTGCTTGAGGAGAGAAGACCACTAAAAGGAGAGAGATTACAGTATCTAGTGCCTGAGAGACTGGTGAGGCTAGAACTTCAAGTGGAAACTTTGAAATTCCTCAGCTGAAGTTAGTGAGATAGTGTGTTAGAACTGGCATGTCAGTTTAACAAGTTCGAACATGTGACAGACTATTGGGATCAAATATATAAAAAGATTACAAGAACCAAAGAAAAGGAAGACAGAAGCAAGTATTTTATGTTTAATAGGCTTCCACATGGCCCTCATGGTAACTGAATGACGTTTACACTACCTGGGGTATTCTTTCCTATTTTATTGCCATTTTCGCTACTTCTCACCCCTACTTTTTATTTCCTTCTAGTTATAAATTAGTATTAAGAATTATTGTTAAGAAAAATTTGTGTAATTATTATTGTCAGGATCTTTTTGTTATAGTCATGATAATATTTAATTGTTCTACCAATTGCTGGATTTTGGATGACTGTAAATCAAAACCACTTGAGCTGTAATCCCTTTGTACTTGCATTTTATTATCACACAAATTAATTTTTTTTCTAACCTTTAATTTTGCATGTGTTGTTTTTTCTGGGTATTTGCTTTTGTCAGACAGTGAAACCCTTTCTTAATTATCACAAAAGTATGATCCTAAAATAAAATGACAAAGTTTGGAGTGGCACACCAGTAACTCACCACTCCTGAGGAAAGCAAATTGGCAATCAAGATTACATTGATTTGTTTTTTGATGGTAAAGGTATTGTACATAGAAAATTTGTACCTCAAGGACAAACAGTTAATCAACACTACTATCATGAGGTCCTTGAATGACTCAGAAAAAGAGTTCATGTCCATCCAGAGATTATGAACTCTTGGTTATTGCATCATGATAATGCACACTGCTACTTCATCAAATTTTTGACTGAAAAGGTTAATCCAGTAGTTCTATAGTTTCTTTATCAGGGATGGTGGATCTATGGCATGCACACCCAAAGTGGCATGTCAGGAGTAATCATCTTGCATGTAATGTATCATATGATTTCATTTTATTATGTTTTTTTTTCAGTTATTCTTTCAGTTTATTATCCAATCATCCTTTTTTCAGTCAGCTTCTTTACATTTATTCTAATTAAAGCATGTTTAATTTTTATGCAAATACATGCTACATATAGTATTAATATATAAATATTCAGTATATTAATTAAAATTATGATTTCTTAAATTATTAAAATGTTTTAAGTATTTAAATTTAGTTATAAATTTTTTAAATTGACAGTGTATTTGCCCATTTGAACTTTTTTAAAACTTTTTATTCAATGTGATCATAACTGGATGATACTTTGAAGTCTTGTTCAAAATATATTTTAGATTATCTCTGATTTATTTCTAAGTCAGATTATTTAGAACATGAAAATGTTTAAAAATTCTTTAAAGGTTTGACTTATATAATTAAGAGTTTTTCTTAAATCAATTACTTGTCTCAAAAAATTTTTATAATGGATCCAGTTTGAAAGGATTTTCAGATTAAGTAAAGTTTCATTAAGATGATATGCTATATTTTTTACAGAAGAATTGTGTTGAAGAATCAAATTTTATTAAATTGTTAAATAAAATATACTTATTTTTATATATGCTTTAATTCATGTGCATATGTTTATGAAATTATCTTTTAACATTTTTAGGAGAAAAAGGAATGGAACAGTGGGAAGATGAAAGATGCTATGCCACTGGTATTGATGATGGTGATGCAGATAATGAAGATACAGAAACAGTTTCCACTGCTCGTCCAAGGAGGCTTTCTGAACTTCATATACCAAAAAGAGTGCATCCTATACCCAAATATACTTCATTTTTTATCTTCTCGCATACAAATAAGTTAGTTTTTTCTATATAATTTATTAAACCTTATTTATGAAATAGTGTATTAACTATGGTATTTATAATACAAATTTTTAATTAAAATTTCTAAATTCTTTTACAGATTTCGTATTATCTGTCATACTCTTGTAAATCATAATTATTTTGGAAATTTAATTTTGGCTTTCATTCTCATAAGTAGTGCTATGCTAGCAGCTGAAGATCCATTAAACTCAAAGTCAGAAAGAAATATGGTTTGTGAATAACATATTAACTTTTACATTTAAGAATCAATATTTTAATTTAAAATTACTTATTTTTTAAAAATAATTTTATTTTTATTTTTACACTTTTTTTAGATTCATAATTAAACTGAGTTTAAGAAAAAGATATTTAAAGTTTTTATTGAAAAAAAAATTAACTTTGTTTATAATGAATTTAAATGTAATAATTAACAGTATTATAAAATTGAGATATTTAAAATATTATAAATTAAAATTTTATGATTTATACAATAACAGATGGAAAAATGACAATATATAAAAAATAAAATTATATTGTTTATTAAAATGAAAATATTTTAAAATATGAATTGAATAATATGAAATTTAATAATTATAATTCTGTGATATTTTAATTATTATAATTTGTATTTTCAGATATTGAATTATTTTGATTATATTTTTACATCAGTTTTTACAGTCGAAATAACTTTAAAGGTATATAGTTTTTAAAGTATACAATTCAATTCTAACTTTAAATATATAAATATATTTGATAAATTTTCGTTTTTATTTAATCTTATATTTTATATAATTAACTATATGAATGATTTGTAAAATTTATACTTTTAAATATTGTAAATTTATATTTAAAAAATATATATTTCTTAAATATAAGATTAAGATTTCATTAAGATGATGTGCTAGAAGATTTAAATAAACAGTATTTAAAAGTAGCTTAGCTTTTATAAATAAATATATATATATATATTTATTGTATTTTTGCAAAATGACTGGCATGCTGGTTAAATGTGACTAAAATATAAAATTAATCAGATGTAACAAAACCAGTTGTTAATTAAATGTTAAAGAAAACATTCTTCCAAGTACAATAAAATAAGAACATTGTAAACATTGTAATTTGACTGAAAATCAGGAAAAGAGTTTTTGTTTACAAGACAATAAACAATTAACAACTTATTGACATTAGTAGTAGTATTAGTTAGTACATAATACTTTTTGCAATCCATCAGTTCTTTTTCAGACACTCTTAATAAGAATATGCATGATTGTTGTATTGAGAATTTATTCAGGAATGTTATTTTTCATTGTTATTATTAATCATTAGCAAATTTTCATAGTGCACAGATAATCTGCAAACTGAGTAATTCAAGCATGGATAATTTCTTTATTTTCCAGCATGGATTATTCAATACATTGTACACTAAATTTAAATTTGAAGTTTGTGAAATAAATAATACATCAATATATTTTTAATTAAGTAAAATTTTAATACTATCTAAAATAATTCAACTTAATTCACATACATTAAATATTTAAAATGAAATTCTTGATACTGAAAAGTTTATCTTAAATGTCTTACATTGTTTCTAAATATTTTTTAGATTAAAAATATTTTACTAAAATAGTTATCATAAGATTTTAATAATATAAAATATAGAATTTTATTGCAAATATTGTAATTATTTAACTTTAACAATTTTCAAGTTATTTTATCACTGTATATATCATAAAATAATAACATTCTATATTCCATTTTATGGGACAGTCTCGAGTTCTTTAAATAATATTTTAGAGATTGTTGTAGAAACTTACTAAAAACTTTTAAATAGATTTCTACAGATTCATAAATAAAATTTATCTTAAAAGTTATAATTTTTTTAAGATAAATTTTAATTTGATGATTTTTTTTTTTACATTTTTAAACTTAAAATTCCAAAAATGTTCTATTGGGCAAAAAATGTAAGAAATAAGTTTAAATGCTTTCAAGTACTATATGCTCATCATCAAGAATCAAAGGATTCCATTTAGGACTCTTTGGTTTCTGGTGGAGAGTATAGTTATTGTTACATTTTAAACTTTTCTAATATTATTTAATAATATAATTTTAATAAAAATGTATGAAGGAATAGATTCATATTTATTTCTGTCAATATATTGCTATTTTATAAAGAAGTGAATTATATCCTTAATATTTAGAAAAGATTGTTAAAAATATCTATGATGTAAAATGTTTTTACATCATAAATATTTTTTATGATGTAAAAAACTAAATACACAAAATTTTTTATGCATTCAGAAATGCAATACTTTAGGAATTGGTCAAACTCGTAAATAATGAAAACATTACTTGAAACAATCTTATTACAAATAAAACTTTAATTTAATCAATTAATTTATTAATTTATTTAATGTACATGATAAATAATAATTTAATTTTTTATTCTATCATTTTATAATTAATATTACAAAAAATGTGGAAATAAAATTATTCTAGATTATTGATTTATTTATTTTTAAAATGAAAATACATAAATCAGATTAAAAATGATGTTTTACTTTTATGTTTTTATATATATAAAAATTTTAAGTTGTTATAAATAATATGATTCTAATTTTTCTAATAATAGGCCATTGCATATGGACTTATTCTGCATAAAGGCTCTTTCTGTCGTAGTTATTTCAATCTTTTAGATGTCTTAGTGGTATGTGTATCACTAGTTTCATTTGCTTATGGGTAAGGAAATTATGTAAAAGTATATTAATTTAATTTAATGACTGATTTTAAATATATAATTTACATAATTAATTAAATATCATGTAATTTTGTTTTCTTATAATGTTGATAGTTTATAAAAAATTTTTATTCTAATTTCTGATAGTAAGTAAATCTGTAGATACTGTTGATAAGGTTTAAATAGCCAACAATAAACAAAATAAAAGTAAAACATTAAATGAGTGCTTTTGCTTGTTACATTCAAGCCTCATTAGAATATTTAAAAACAGAATGACAGAATTTGCTTAAGTAGAACATATTTAAATTTAAAATTATAAAAATATTGGATTTATACATAGATGTATATTTAATAACTATCATTATAAATATTGATGTTAAATTCAAAAATCTCTATAAAAAAATATATATAGAAAAATTAAAATAAATAATTCCAAACATCTGAAATTTGCACTGATGGCATACTGCAAGTTCTATTATATCTAATAAACAATCAGAAATAGTATTAAGCATTAAAAAAAATTGCTAGCAAACACTAAACTTACAGAATGTTTCAGATTTTTCAAGATTGAGGTAATTAGTCTTTATCCATTAGTAAGTACAACTAAAGAAATAGTTTTTACAAAGAACTCCTATTATTTGAAAGCATTATTTAGTAACAGCCTTATAGCTATGATTTCCTTTTTTTAGAAATTATTTTATAATTTTAATTGGAAGTATTTTGTGTTTTTAACGGACTATTTTATACTACCGGCGACAAGTAGCCTACAACGAAAGGTCAGTTGCCGAAAAAGTGTGTTGTCTTGGAAAATAAAAATAAAAAAATAAAATAAAATGGTGATCCCTTTTGGGCAGATTTTGTCTTCATTTTTATTGAAAAATAATTCTCTATCGGACGAAAATTTACTGATTTGCAAATCCAATTATTTTATATTCAAGGGTAATATTTATCTTCAACAGTGTGGTTTGCCTGAGGGTTCTTCTTTTACTGCCTTTTTTGTGAAGATTGTTATGAGGAAATTGGAATGCAGGATATTCCATAAACTTGGCACTGTGCCCTGCCTCTGTTTTGGTATAGATATGTGGATGAGGTTCTAATTGGTTGAGACATATAAAGGAAAAATTCATGCTCTTCTTTATATATATAAATTCTATATTTAGTTATGTTAAGTTCACTCCAGAAGAATCGTATATGTCTTTCCATTCTTTTTTTAGATTTACATATTTCCATCAACAAGAACTTGTTTGTTTTATGAAAGTTTTAGGAGATTTAATTCACCAGCAGACTTACCAATAATAAATTCTTTTCAGTATGGTCTGCATCTGAATTCAGCTATTATTCCACATATTGAAGAGCTCACTTATATTGTTTTACACTAAGTAACTTAACAATCGCATCATAGTATCAAAGGTGTAAATATTAATACTGACTTTACTAATTCCAAATTTCACTGTTAGGTAACAAAATTAGAAACTCCTTATTCTAACAAACTAAGCTCCTCTCTTTGTATTCAGAAGAAAGATTTATACCTGTATAAAATCTAGTATGTATAGCATACCTCTCAGCAAAGGAGGTTTCTATATGGATGATTACTATATTTTACATTGGAGTTACTACTAGACCCCTATTTAAATGTATCATCAAACACAAAATGAATATAAAAGCAGAGATTAAGTACTGTATTAGCAAGATTAACAGTTACTGATGGCTCTACATCTGATTGGAACAATGTGAAAATAATACATACACCTCATAAATATACCTTCCAATCCAATTATTTTATTCTTGACAGAAACTGTTTTAAATTAGATGTAATAGAGCATGCAGTTTACCATCACACAAATTTCAGATGTTTGCAATTATTTATTTTAATTCTTCTGTATATATTTTTATGTTTAACATCAATCTTTATAATACTAACTACAAAATATACTGTACATATATGTATTTGTTTATACATAGATAAACAGCTCATAAAACTGGATGGAGTTTGCTTGTCTAGTAAATAGTTTTTGCTGATGGATTTTGGTGTGGTTATGTATAAATCTAATATTTTTAAATTTAAATACATTCCACTTAAGTAAATTTTGTTGTTCTTTTTCAAACATTCTGACTGATGAAGCTTGATTGTAACAAGCAAAAGTACTCATTAAATATTTTATTTTGATTTTGTGTATTATCAGTTTTGTTGAACTGATTTATGAAACTCATGTAGTTCAATGAATTTCAACACCAATACACTTAATTATAGAAATTGTTCATATTTAAAATTCATTCAATGGTTATTTAATCTCTTGGGCTCTTAACTGGTGCAACAATCTCCTTCCATTTTTTCTTGTCTTGTGCTTCTTGCATCCACCTAGGCAGTATACCCACTCTTTTTAGATCCCTCTCCAGTCCTTTCCATTGCATTGGAGGGTGTCCAACAGGTCATTTACTCTGAGGCTCTCTGGTCATCACTTTGTGTGCATGTCAATTTGTATCAGTGCAGGCTACATGTTTTGCCTATCTGGTGCATCTCTTGGCTATAATTTGTATGATATTATAGTCATCAACTTTGTGATGCAGTTCTTCATTGTGCACCTTCTTCCAAGCACCAATTCCACTATCCCACATAAGTCCAAAGATCTGCCTGAGGACATTGTTTTTAAACACTCACAATTTGTATTTGTTGACTCTATGTATGGGCCATGTCTCACAGCCATAGAGCAACATTAGTCGGATATTGGTTTTATACAATCTTAACTTTATCTTTCTAGAAACTAGTTTAGATTGTAGTACTTTTTGCAAGCTATAGGATGATGTGTTAGCTTTATGGATCCTTGAGTAAATTTCTGTTGTGATGAAGTTTTTATTGTCCACTACAGATTCAAGGTAAGTGAAGTTGCTGACCCTTTTGAAATGTGTAATTCAAACGGTTCTGAATTTAAAATGATACACTGATTTAGAAATAAGAAAGGAAAATTTATTTGGCAAAAAGAAAGCTTGATATTATATTTATATTTGGATAAAACAAAGCTTATCCTTAGAACAGCCTATTTAGGTACTATTAAACCTTGAGGTGCCTAATTGGGAGGATAACCAAAATTCACAGCTCACAACATATCAGGAAAAGAGCTACTGTTACTCTCTTTTCCCTTTTTCCATTTCCCCTTTTGTTTCATTTATTTTTTGAATCAGTCATGATTTTATTCTGGAGGAATTTGATGTAATAGGAGATAAGCTTGATTGGTCATTTTTAATCCTCTACTCTTGTCTAGGATGAATTATATGTATTCACATGATGTGAATAAGATAACAATTATCACTTGACACTATTTGAAAGGGGGAAATGATGGTCATTCCTCTCATCTTTTCTTCTGAATGTTGCAAGGATAATGATAATTTTGTTATTTTAATTTGTTTCTTTTTTATATTTATATATTATTTTTAATCTATATTGCTAAAAATTTAGAAGAGAGTATCCCTAAAATTGGGAAAATAGGCAAAATTCTATTACAACATTACTTGATACAGTAAACAACCATAGTGTCACATTCACACATTGTAGCTATGTGAGTCCAGTAACTAATTTTTACAATTGTTTGATAAACAAACAAACAAAACTAAAAATATTATCATATTTGATATTATAAATGTATTTTATATATTATTTAAAGATATTACATTTTTAGTTTAAAATAAGTTGATTAAAAATTAAACTTATACAAAANTATGAAATTATCTTTTAACATTTTTAGGAGAAAAAGGAATGGAACAGTGGGAAGATGAAAGATGCTATGCCACTGGTATTGATGATGGTGATGCAGATAATGATTATATCTATATTATAATTTTTAGGTCCATATTAAAGTTGAAGATACAACATTGAAAGACACAGATGTGCCAAAAATAAGTGTTCCTTTTGGTAATAAACTGTTATCTTTTTTGATTAATTATATAATTTACTTTTTTATATTTTAATGTTTATGAAGAAAATTCACACACATTCTGAATGGTTACAATGCTGCCCTCTCTTGAAGGAAGCATTGTAAGCATTCCTCTGACATCAACTGAAATGTACAGTACATTCATTGTTGATGTTCAGTGCAAGTTTCAACATGTTAACATTAACAAATCTGAGTTGATAGCAAGAATGTGATATGTAAGAGTGTATGGGGAGTGATGGATCATGGAAATGGAAGGTGAAATTTGAACAGCATTTTGTATCAAAGTTAATGAAAATACCAAGCAGAAAATTATGAAAAATCAAAATGGCTTATAGAGATAATGTTGTTTTGAGGACAGGTTTTATCAGATGGCATAAACCATTTTTTGGATGGCCAAGAGAATATGGAAGACCAACTTTACTCTAAAAGATCTAACATATCAAAAACAGATGAATTTGTGATCAAAATGAGGACTCTTGTAAAGTCTGATTGATGTTTGACTGTCAGAATGGTTATCTGTGAATTGAATTTGAATTACTTTTGAATCACCATGAATCACAAACCATTCATAACATTTTGACCAAGTAATTAAGCATGTGGAAAATTTCTGAAGCTGGTTCCAAAAAACCTTACCAAAGAACAACCGAAGGAATGTGTGTTTGGATCTTCTTGGACACATTAAAAATAAAAATTTTTTCAAACATATGATCGCAGGTGGATTTTAAAGTGTGGCTTTACACCATATTGCATGCTTTTGTCCTTTTGTTCTTCTGACATTTCTTCCTGTTCTTTGTTCTTTCCAACTTCTAGAACTATCTAATCTTAATTCTTCTTTCTTGGAGGTGAGGGCTGCTTCCTGGAATCCCCAGTACAATGAATATGAGGTTATCTGAGGGCATACAAAGCAAAGGAAGATCACTTTTTGGCTGGTGCTTGAGGAGAGAAGACCACTAAAAGGAGAGAGATTACAGTATCTAGTGCCTGAGAGACTGGTGAGGCTAGAACTTCAAGTGGAAACTTTGAAATTCCTCAGCTGAAGTTAGTGAGATAGTGTGTTAGAACTGGCATGTCAGTTTAACAAGTTCGAACATGTGACAGACTATTGGGATCAAATATATAAAAAGATTACAAGAACCAAAGAAAAGGAAGACAGAAGCAAGTATTTTATGTTTAATAGGCTTCCACATGGCCCTCATGGTAACTGAATGACGTTTACACTACCTGGGGTATTCTTTCCTATTTTATTGCCATTTTCGCTACTTCTCACCCCTACTTTTTATTTCCTTCTAGTTATAAATTAGTATTAAGAATTATTGTTAAGAAAAATTTGTGTAATTATTATTGTCAGGATCTTTTTGTTATAGTCATGATAATATTTAATTGTTCTACCAATTGCTGGATTTTGGATGACTGTAAATCAAAACCACTTGAGCTGTAATCCCTTTGTACTTGCATTTTATTATCACACAAATTAATTTTTTTTCTAACCTTTAATTTTGCATGTGTTGTTTTTTCTGGGTATTTGCTTTTGTCAGACAGTGAAACCCTTTCTTAATTATCACAAAAGTATGATCCTAAAATAAAATGACAAAGTTTGGAGTGGCACACCAGTAACTCACCACTCCTGAGGAAAGCAAATTGGCAATCAAGATTACATTGATTTGTTTTTTGATGGTAAAGGTATTGTACATAGAAAATTTGTACCTCAAGGACAAACAGTTAATCAACACTACTATCATGAGGTCCTTGAATGACTCAGAAAAAGAGTTCATGTCCATCCAGAGATTATGAACTCTTGGTTATTGCATCATGATAATGCACACTGCTACTTCATCAAATTTTTGACTGAAAAGGTTAATCCAGTAGTTCTATAGTTTCTTTATCAGGGATGGTGGATCTATGGCATGCACACCCAAAGTGGCATGTCAGGAGTAATCATCTTGCATGTAATGTATCATATGATTTCATTTTATTATGTTTTTTTTTCAGTTATTCTTTCAGTTTATTATCCAATCATCCTTTTTTCAGTCAGCTTCTTTACATTTATTCTAATTAAAGCATGTTTAATTTTTATGCAAATACATGCTACATATAGTATTAATATATAAATATTCAGTATATTAATTAAAATTATGATTTCTTAAATTATTAAAATGTTTTAAGTATTTAAATTTAGTTATAAATTTTTTAAATTGACAGTGTATTTGCCCATTTGAACTTTTTTAAAACTTTTTATTCAATGTGATCATAACTGGATGATACTTTGAAGTCTTGTTCAAAATATATTTTAGATTATCTCTGATTTATTTCTAAGTCAGATTATTTAGAACATGAAAATGTTTAAAAATTCTTTAAAGGTTTGACTTATATAATTAAGAGTTTTTCTTAAATCAATTACTTGTCTCAAAAAATTTTTATAATGGATCCAGTTTGAAAGGATTTTCAGATTAAGTAAAGTTTCATTAAGATGATATGCTATATTTTTTACAGAAGAATTGTGTTGAAGAATCAAATTTTATTAAATTGTTAAATAAAATATACTTATTTTTATATATGCTTTAATTCATGTGCATATGTTTATGAAATTATCTTTTAACATTTTTAGGAGAAAAAGGAATGGAACAGTGGGAAGATGAAAGATGCTATGCCACTGGTATTGATGATGGTGATGCAGATAATGAAGATACAGAAACAGTTTCCACTGCTCGTCCAAGGAGGCTTTCTGAACTTCATATACCAAAAAGAGTGCATCCTATACCCAAATATACTTCATTTTTTATCTTCTCGCATACAAATAAGTTAGTTTTTTCTATATAATTTATTAAACCTTATTTATGAAATAGTGTATTAACTATGGTATTTATAATACAAATTTTTAATTAAAATTTCTAAATTCTTTTACAGATTTCGTATTATCTGTCATACTCTTGTAAATCATAATTATTTTGGAAATTTAATTTTGGCTTTCATTCTCATAAGTAGTGCTATGCTAGCAGCTGAAGATCCATTAAACTCAAAGTCAGAAAGAAATATGGTTTGTGAATAACATATTAACTTTTACATTTAAGAATCAATATTTTAATTTAAAATTACTTATTTTTTAAAAATAATTTTATTTTTATTTTTACACTTTTTTTAGATTCATAATTAAACTGAGTTTAAGAAAAAGATATTTAAAGTTTTTATTGAAAAAAAAATTAACTTTGTTTATAATGAATTTAAATGTAATAATTAACAGTATTATAAAATTGAGATATTTAAAATATTATAAATTAAAATTTTATGATTTATACAATAACAGATGGAAAAATGACAATATATAAAAAATAAAATTATATTGTTTATTAAAATGAAAATATTTTAAAATATGAATTGAATAATATGAAATTTAATAATTATAATTCTGTGATATTTTAATTATTATAATTTGTATTTTCAGATATTGAATTATTTTGATTATATTTTTACATCAGTTTTTACAGTCGAAATAACTTTAAAGGTATATAGTTTTTAAAGTATACAATTCAATTCTAACTTTAAATATATAAATATATTTGATAAATTTTCGTTTTTATTTAATCTTATATTTTATATAATTAACTATATGAATGATTTGTAAAATTTATACTTTTAAATATTGTAAATTTATATTTAAAAAATATATATTTCTTAAATATAAGATTAAGATTTCATTAAGATGATGTGCTAGAAGATTTAAATAAACAGTATTTAAAAGTAGCTTAGCTTTTATAAATAAATATATATATATATATTTATTGTATTTTTGCAAAATGACTGGCATGCTGGTTAAATGTGACTAAAATATAAAATTAATCAGATGTAACAAAACCAGTTGTTAATTAAATGTTAAAGAAAACATTCTTCCAAGTACAATAAAATAAGAACATTGTAAACATTGTAATTTGACTGAAAATCAGGAAAAGAGTTTTTGTTTACAAGACAATAAACAATTAACAACTTATTGACATTAGTAGTAGTATTAGTTAGTACATAATACTTTTTGCAATCCATCAGTTCTTTTTCAGACACTCTTAATAAGAATATGCATGATTGTTGTATTGAGAATTTATTCAGGAATGTTATTTTTCATTGTTATTATTAATCATTAGCAAATTTTCATAGTGCACAGATAATCTGCAAACTGAGTAATTCAAGCATGGATAATTTCTTTATTTTCCAGCATGGATTATTCAATACATTGTACACTAAATTTAAATTTGAAGTTTGTGAAATAAATAATACATCAATATATTTTTAATTAAGTAAAATTTTAATACTATCTAAAATAATTCAACTTAATTCACATACATTAAATATTTAAAATGAAATTCTTGATACTGAAAAGTTTATCTTAAATGTCTTACATTGTTTCTAAATATTTTTTAGATTAAAAATATTTTACTAAAATAGTTATCATAAGATTTTAATAATATAAAATATAGAATTTTATTGCAAATATTGTAATTATTTAACTTTAACAATTTTCAAGTTATTTTATCACTGTATATATCATAAAATAATAACATTCTATATTCCATTTTATGGGACAGTCTCGAGTTCTTTAAATAATATTTTAGAGATTGTTGTAGAAACTTACTAAAAACTTTTAAATAGATTTCTACAGATTCATAAATAAAATTTATCTTAAAAGTTATAATTTTTTTAAGATAAATTTTAATTTGATGATTTTTTTTTTTACATTTTTAAACTTAAAATTCCAAAAATGTTCTATTGGGCAAAAAATGTAAGAAATAAGTTTAAATGCTTTCAAGTACTATATGCTCATCATCAAGAATCAAAGGATTCCATTTAGGACTCTTTGGTTTCTGGTGGAGAGTATAGTTATTGTTACATTTTAAACTTTTCTAATATTATTTAATAATATAATTTTAATAAAAATGTATGAAGGAATAGATTCATATTTATTTCTGTCAATATATTGCTATTTTATAAAGAAGTGAATTATATCCTTAATATTTAGAAAAGATTGTTAAAAATATCTATGATGTAAAATGTTTTTACATCATAAATATTTTTTATGATGTAAAAAACTAAATACACAAAATTTTTTATGCATTCAGAAATGCAATACTTTAGGAATTGGTCAAACTCGTAAATAATGAAAACATTACTTGAAACAATCTTATTACAAATAAAACTTTAATTTAATCAATTAATTTATTAATTTATTTAATGTACATGATAAATAATAATTTAATTTTTTATTCTATCATTTTATAATTAATATTACAAAAAATGTGGAAATAAAATTATTCTAGATTATTGATTTATTTATTTTTAAAATGAAAATACATAAATCAGATTAAAAATGATGTTTTACTTTTATGTTTTTATATATATAAAAATTTTAAGTTGTTATAAATAATATGATTCTAATTTTTCTAATAATAGGCCATTGCATATGGACTTATTCTGCATAAAGGCTCTTTCTGTCGTAGTTATTTCAATCTTTTAGATGTCTTAGTGGTATGTGTATCACTAGTTTCATTTGCTTATGGGTAAGGAAATTATGTAAAAGTATATTAATTTAATTTAATGACTGATTTTAAATATATAATTTACATAATTAATTAAATATCATGTAATTTTGTTTTCTTATAATGTTGATAGTTTATAAAAAATTTTTATTCTAATTTCTGATAGTAAGTAAATCTGTAGATACTGTTGATAAGGTTTAAATAGCCAACAATAAACAAAATAAAAGTAAAACATTAAATGAGTGCTTTTGCTTGTTACATTCAAGCCTCATTAGAATATTTAAAAACAGAATGACAGAATTTGCTTAAGTAGAACATATTTAAATTTAAAATTATAAAAATATTGGATTTATACATAGATGTATATTTAATAACTATCATTATAAATATTGATGTTAAATTCAAAAATCTCTATAAAAAAATATATATAGAAAAATTAAAATAAATAATTCCAAACATCTGAAATTTGCACTGATGGCATACTGCAAGTTCTATTATATCTAATAAACAATCAGAAATAGTATTAAGCATTAAAAAAATTGCTAGCAAACACTAAACTTACAGAATGTTTCAGATTTTTCAAGATTGAGGTAATTAGTCTTTATCCATTAGTAAGTACAACTAAAGAAATAGTTTTTACAAAGAACTCCTATTATTTGAAAGCATTATTTAGTAACAGCCTTATAGCTATGATTTCCTTTTTTTAGAAATTATTTTATAATTTTAATTGGAAGTATTTTGTGTTTTTAACGGACTATTTTATACTACCGGCGACAAGTAGCCTACAACGAAAGGTCAGTTGCCGAAAAAGTGTGTTGTCTTGGAAAATAAAAATAAAAAAATAAAATAAAATGGTGATCCCTTTTGGGCAGATTTTGTCTTCATTTTTATTGAAAAATAATTCTCTATCGGACGAAAATTTACTGATTTGCAAATCCAATTATTTTATATTCAAGGGTAATATTTATCTTCAACAGTGTGGTTTGCCTGAGGGTTCTTCTTTTACTGCCTTTTTTGTGAAGATTGTTATGAGGAAATTGGAATGCAGGATATTCCATAAACTTGGCACTGTGCCCTGCCTCTGTTTTGGTATAGATATGTGGATGAGGTTCTAATTGGTTGAGACATATAAAGGAAAAATTCATGCTCTTCTTTATATATATAAATTCTATATTTAGTTATGTTAAGTTCACTCCAGAAGAATCGTATATGTCTTTCCATTCTTTTTTTAGATTTACATATTTCCATCAACAAGAACTTGTTTGTTTTATGAAAGTTTTAGGAGATTTAATTCACCAGCAGACTTACCAATAATAAATTCTTTTCAGTATGGTCTGCATCTGAATTCAGCTATTATTCCACATATTGAAGAGCTCACTTATATTGTTTTACACTAAGTAACTTAACAATCGCATCATAGTATCAAAGGTGTAAATATTAATACTGACTTTACTAATTCCAAATTTCACTGTTAGGTAACAAAATTAGAAACTCCTTATTCTAACAAACTAAGCTCCTCTCTTTGTATTCAGAAGAAAGATTTATACCTGTATAAAATCTAGTATGTATAGCATACCTCTCAGCAAAGGAGGTTTCTATATGGATGATTACTATATTTTACATTGGAGTTACTACTAGACCCCTATTTAAATGTATCATCAAACACAAAATGAATATAAAAGCAGAGATTAAGTACTGTATTAGCAAGATTAACAGTTACTGATGGCTCTACATCTGATTGGAACAATGTGAAAATAATACATACACCTCATAAATATACCTTCCAATCCAATTATTTTATTCTTGACAGAAACTGTTTTAAATTAGATGTAATAGAGCATGCAGTTTACCATCACACAAATTTCAGATGTTTGCAATTATTTATTTTAATTCTTCTGTATATATTTTTATGTTTAACATCAATCTTTATAATACTAACTACAAAATATACTGTACATATATGTATTTGTTTATACATAGATAAACAGCTCATAAAACTGGATGGAGTTTGCTTGTCTAGTAAATAGTTTTTGCTGATGGATTTTGGTGTGGTTATGTATAAATCTAATATTTTTAAATTTAAATACATTCCACTTAAGTAAATTTTGTTGTTCTTTTTCAAACATTCTGACTGATGAAGCTTGATTGTAACAAGCAAAAGTACTCATTAAATATTTTATTTTGATTTTGTGTATTATCAGTTTTGTTGAACTGATTTATGAAACTCATGTAGTTCAATGAATTTCAACACCAATACACTTAATTATAGAAATTGTTCATATTTAAAATTCATTCAATGGTTATTTAATCTCTTGGGCTCTTAACTGGTGCAACAATCTCCTTCCATTTTTTCTTGTCTTGTGCTTCTTGCATCCACCTAGGCAGTATACCCACTCTTTTTAGATCCCTCTCCAGTCCTTTCCATTGCATTGGAGGGTGTCCAACAGGTCATTTACTCTGAGGCTCTCTGGTCATCACTTTGTGTGCATGTCAATTTGTATCAGTGCAGGCTACATGTTTTGCCTATCTGGTGCATCTCTTGGCTATAATTTGTATGATATTATAGTCATCAACTTTGTGATGCAGTTCTTCATTGTGCACCTTCTTCCAAGCACCAATTCCACTATCCCACATAAGTCCAAAGATCTGCCTGAGGACATTGTTTTTAAACACTCACAATTTGTATTTGTTGACTCTATGTATGGGCCATGTCTCACAGCCATAGAGCAACATTAGTCGGATATTGGTTTTATACAATCTTAACTTTATCTTTCTAGAAACTAGTTTAGATTGTAGTACTTTTTGCAAGCTATAGGATGATGTGTTAGCTTTATGGATCCTTGAGTAAATTTCTGTTGTGATGAAGTTTTTATTGTCCACTACAGATTCAAGGTAAGTGAAGTTGCTGACCCTTTTGAAATGTGTAATTCAAACGGTTCTGAATTTAAAATGATACACTGATTTAGAAATAAGAAAGGAAAATTTATTTGGCAAAAAGAAAGCTTGATATTATATTTATATTTGGATAAAACAAAGCTTATCCTTAGAACAGCCTATTTAGGTACTATTAAACCTTGAGGTGCCTAATTGGGAGGATAACCAAAATTCACAGCTCACAACATATCAGGAAAAGAGCTACTGTTACTCTCTTTTCCCTTTTTCCATTTCCCCTTTTGTTTCATTTATTTTTTGAATCAGTCATGATTTTATTCTGGAGGAATTTGATGTAATAGGAGATAAGCTTGATTGGTCATTTTTAATCCTCTACTCTTGTCTAGGATGAATTATATGTATTCACATGATGTGAATAAGATAACAATTATCACTTGACACTATTTGAAAGGGGGAAATGATGGTCATTCCTCTCATCTTTTCTTCTGAATGTTGCAAGGATAATGATAATTTTGTTATTTTAATTTGTTTCTTTTTTATATTTATATATTATTTTTAATCTATATTGCTAAAAATTTAGAAGAGAGTATCCCTAAAATTGGGAAAATAGGCAAAATTCTATTACAACATTACTTGATACAGTAAACAACCATAGTGTCACATTCACACATTGTAGCTATGTGAGTCCAGTAACTAATTTTTACAATTGTTTGATAAACAAACAAACAAAACTAAAAATATTATCATATTTGATATTATAAATGTATTTTATATATTATTTAAAGATATTACATTTTTAGTTTAAAATAAGTTGATTAAAAATTAAACTTATACAAAATAATACTAATGATAATTTAATAACACATATATCGGTAGTAATAACAGACAAAATTTAAGAAAAATAGTAGGCCTAACATCATAGATGACCTCTGAAACAAGACTATTAACTTGCTAGAGCTTCAACTCAATTCTTAGTTTGTGTTTGGACAGAAAATGAATTGTGCCTAGTTTATTTTTGAAAGAATTTTCTATTTTGTTTTTCATTCTAAATATAGAACGTACTGTACATTGAAACAAGTTTATATGCGTTGTTGTATTTATTCATAACAAAAGGTTTTAGATATCAAATTTTAATTTTCAAATTAAATTGAATTTGAATTTTTTATTGGCAAGTTAATTAAAAAATAACTGTTTGTAAAACTATTAAGAAGAAATGATTCATATAAAAGATATAATAGAAAATTGAAGATGTTTAAAAATGGAATTGACTTAAAATTATTTGTTTCATTTTGTAGGAATGGAACAATATCTGTAGTAAAGATATTACGTGTTTTAAGAGTTCTGCGTCCTTTGAGAGCAATCAATCGTGCAAAAGGTTTGAAGGTAAGAATTTTTGTTATAATTAATATTAAATTATTCTGACACAATAAATTTTTCTACATTATAAATTTTATTTAAGCATCTACTGGATTTCTGAATTAAACAAACAACTTTTATTTTCTTTTTCTTACCTGCTTTATTAATAATTTTGATTTTAAATAAATTCAGATGCTTCTTCAATTATAAATATACAACAAAATATTTAAATTAACAATCAAAAGAATCTTTTTTTTTCTTTTATTATGATTTCCTTTTACACACTTTATATTTTATGTAATCATATATTTGTTTTTTATTTACAGTATGTTGTGAAATGTGTGATTGTTGCAGTCAAAACAATAGGAAATATCATGTTGGTAACATATCTTTTGCAATTCATGTTTGCAGTAATTGGAGTGCAATTATTTAAGGTAGAGTATTATTTTAATATATTTTTTTTTATTATGATACATGTAATATTTGAATATATTTAATGGCTATTACTTGTAGGATTTTATTTGTTGATTACTATATATGCACATCAGGATAACCTAGTTTTATTAAATGTATATTAAAAACCTGGTATCTAAAGTCACTATGAGAAATTTCTTGATATTTAATCTGTTGGTTTTTCTATGATCATTTTAAAATTAATCCAAAAAAAAATTAGCTAATGAGAAACTTAAACTATGATTTAGGGTTAAATTTTGTATTAAAAATTAACATAAACTTGGCATTACATTTTTGTTAAGCCATTTACATTATAACACTGAATTTTTTTTGGAATAAAGCAATGTAATTCCTCAAAAGATGATAAGAGATAGATACAAGGTAAAAAGTTTTAATAAAATGATAATTACAAATAAATTTAGAATTTAATTTTATTCATTGCAGAAAACTGAACAAAAACTTTTTTGTTTTGTTTCAAATATATTATAAAATTTGTTGCTGTTATATATGCAAAACTTCAAGCTAAAATAAATACAAAACCTTTAAAACTAGCAAAAAAAGTTTAATATTAGCAAACATTTTTAGTTGCAGAAACAGGCATTAATTGCATTATAAATTTTATTCTATATCAGTAACTGAACTGAAATGAAGCTTACAATTTAGCCTGATGATGATTATTTTTGCAATCAGAAACATTTTCTACTGTTTTAAAAGTTTTATTTTATTTTCATTGTTTACATCAAGTAACTGTACTAACAAAAAATTAACATTAACATTAAGCTTAATTAACATGATTTAAGCAAGAATTTTTAAAATATATATATTTCAATTTTGTCTTTTTAATTATAATATAAGTTAAAAAACTAAAGAATGCTATTCACAAATTTTACATATTTAGCAAACTAAACGTACTTTATTTTATATAAGGACACTGATACTGTGACGTACGGTTGATTGGGTTGGTTATGTGTAGTATACATTACAATGCACTATTGAGTGAAACAGATGTATGAATATAGAGGTGTATTTACAAATGTTTTAATACAAAAAATGCTTAGTATTATTCAGTTTTTATTAGAAAAAAATTTTCTTGATGATATTCATACAAGAGATAATAAATAAGACTGTAAATCTCTAACTTAGCAACATGTGTGCAAGAAAATCCCACTTATTCATGTATACTTACATTTTACCAGTCGTGCATATATAACTTTAATGTCAAATGAACCAATATTTTCTTTCAGAGAAAGAACATTGTGTGAAAATAACACGAGCCAGAGCCCGCTCTAGGAGTGGACAACCCGGATATCTGTCCTGGGTGGCAAATCTAAAGGGCGGCATTTTGGTTGTGAATGTGACAAAATATTTATAAGTTAAATACTTAATTAATCGAAATTTATATTTGTCGATTTTTTCTGTGGCTAAAATTACCATGCAATTTACATTTCATATTTATTATTTTTGCCTAAAAGCTAAGAAAATATTTGCATTCCGTAATTCTGAAGAAAACAATCTTAAAAGAGGGCTTTTGGCAAAAAGGAAAGCATAAACAACAATGTTAAATTTTGTCCCAAACCTTAGTGTCACCTTAAGAATACTGCCGATCATACCAATAACTGTAGCTAGTGGGGGAAAGCAATTTTTCTAAATAAAAATTAATTAAAAACTTTTTACCTTCCACTACCATGCAAATCATCTTAATACTTTGGCCATTTTGGCGATTGTGCATGAATCTGCATATCAAGTAAACTTAAAAGAGTTTACAGAACTAAACATGAGAAAAAAGTTTCTTTTGATTTTAGTATAGTTGATGTACTTTTGTTTAGTTTTTATATGATACAAGTTTTTTGTTTGTACAATAACACATCTTTGTAAAATCATTAAAAATGCATCTAGTTAACAATTTGTAACTAGGTACAGGTATATTTTAATTTTTACTGTTTTGTACTATTTGATTGTTAATTTTATATTACATGTTTCTCTCTAAATAAATTTAAGGGATGGCAATTTGGTTTTTTTGTCTGGGGCGACATAAATGCTTCAGTGGGAACTGCATGAGCATCATGTTATATGGGAGTCTACTGTATTATATTTTTCTAGTGATACAAACACATTATTTTTAGCAGAAACTATATTAATTAAAATGAAATAAGTTTGTAACACACCAACTTTAAAAGTGTATAGTATTTGGAATTAGTGATCTAAATCAATTGATAAAAAAAGTTAGATTTTTTAGTTTTTCAAATGTATAAATGTTTATATTTTAAAAAAAATTTAAATACAATGTTAAATGTTTTTTAAAATCTTCAATTTCAATGTTCCATTGTTATGTATTCAATCTGAAGATGTTAAAATGAAATAAAATGAAAGTACTCATTAAAGTTAGTTCATATTTTTACATTTAATTTGAATTTACATATCATTATTGCTATGTTATAACAAGTTTATTTGGTGTTTTTCTGTAATGAATATTTGAACATTCTCAAACATCTATAAATTAAACATTATTATTTATTTTATAGGGAAAGTTCTTCAGATGTACAGATAGCACCAAAATGGTTGAGAAGACTTGCAAGTAAGTTATTTTAATCTGTTTTAGAAAATTATGTTTGATACTGATTTTAATATTATTATTGCTTTATACTTGGTATTAATTTCAGTGTAAACTTATAAAAAACAAATTTTATAGATTTTTGTAATGTAAAACAACAATTCTCTTTAACAAAAATTTAATATTTCTTTTGTTAGAAGATCTTTATGATTCAAAAGTTTTGATATAAGACAAACTACAATATTCATGAAGTCAATGGGTACAAATTTGTTTGAAATATAAATAAATGTTTTTAATTTGTCAATGAGATAATCTGGTATATGTGTTAATCATTCACTTTGATATCATAAAAAAGACACTTAATGCTCAAATGTTTAAAGTTAGTGGAGTTACATTTAAAATGTTTTCAATATTAGTGAGTCAAAATTCATTTATCTGTCATTATGATAATATATACTAGACAATGTATCTTTGTTAATTGTGATAACATATATGATTTCTTTGGATCAAATGGCATTATTTATCATCCAAATTCTTATGTTTATTTTAATTTATTTGAAATTAAAATTATAATTGTGTTCATTTTTCTTGGTTATTTTATGTAAACTGATTAAAAAAGACAAAATGACAAATTTGGTTTTTTATGTGTTTTTTGGACGAAACTGTTCAAAAAACACATAAAAAACTAAATTTGTCTTTAATTTTTACAAAGTTTTATATGAGAATTTACAAAATAAATTTATATTTGACTTTTGTCTTTTTTAATCAGTTTATATAATACAGTTTACTAAAGAATTAATTAATGGTGAGAAGTATTTTTTAAAGTTTCTTACATTTGACATTACATCTGAATTTTTTACATGACATTTTGTATACAATATTTCATTTATCAACTTACAATATTATTCTGTAATGTAATAATTTTTTAGTTTGAAACAAAGCCAATTTATTATTAGCTACAGGTCTCATTTTAAGTGAATTATTGAATTGAAATTATCTCTCTGTAATTTTATAGGGAACTTCACAATTAAAAATCACAGCCTCTTTATACCACTTCTTGTGGAATGATAAAGACCTCATAGATGACAAATAGAGCAGTGGAGTTTACAGTACATCATTCCAACCATAAATGAAGATACAAACATTAATATGGAATGTGTTAGATAACTTCCTGATTCCTCAATCAAAGGCTCATCAAGCATAAATATGACATTAAAAGAGTAGGGAATGCTATAATTTTGTTTTCCTATGCACAGAGATAGATTGGCAGGTGACCAAAATCATCTGAACCATCTCCCATATATCTCATGCAAACATTGTAGAGAAGTCTGAAATTTATAATCACTCTGTTATCAACTTGTGCATAAACAGCAGTGACAAGGATTCCTTCCCCTTCCTGGCAATAGCTCCTGTCATATCAACTGCTGCCATCGTAGCTCTTCCTTCATTTGTTTACTTTATTGGTGACCATCCCTTCATTTTTTCTTCTGACACTAGAACTTGTCTTTTGACTATCCATTTCTGATGATGACTCATTCACTGGGTCAAAAATGTTAGGATTTTTCTTTTAAATCTCACTGTTAAATTGTGCATTAAATAATTTAGATAAAATAGTATGCATAATTGCATGTCATCACTCCACAGATACTACATTTTGCTATTGTAAGTATTAAAATAATACCAGGTGAGCAACTGAAAAGTTTACTCACAAGAAGTAAAGTGAGAAGTTTGTTAATGCTGCAAGTCAGATTTGATGACACTCTGAACATAAAAAGAGATGTAAACAAAACATTATCTAAAGAAAGACTTCAAGACATCTGAACATTCAAGACATCATGCTTAGAAGTGACTCCCACAAAAATCTTTAGCTCAAAATAAGAATAGATAAAAGTTTATCTATTCTTATGTGAATAGATAAGAGTTCTAATTGATTCTTAGTTATGTGAATAGATAAAGTTCTATTCACATAACTAAGAATCAAATTTTAGCCTTATAGATTATGAATTTCTCAAGAACCAGCTCTTATCACAAAATTGATTCATGATGCTGTCAAACTTTTTATTTCATTTTTTAAAAATACAACTTAATTTCTCACCTAATAGTTGTTATATTATTATCATAGTGATTGATTATGATTAAAATTCTATTATATTCATTAGCACTTTTGCATATACTATTTACCTTCTATATTCATATTTATATAAAAACAAGAAATTACCTAATCAATAAAAACAATTTGGTGCAATGAATATGGTTTATTTTTCAACCTTATATGATAACTGTTGAAATCATTGATTAAACATATACTTTTAATGATTTTATATATAGAATTCTTTAAATATATCCTGTAAAAATATGCTTCATATATCAGAAATTGCTTAAAATTTCTAATTTAATAGATATTAAAATATGAAAATGTAGGATAATTGTCCTATTATACATGTAGTTTGATCAACTCTCAATAAAGTAATTAATAAATGATAACAGTTTTAAAAATTTGAAATTTATTGACAAAATAATTAATATAAAAAGCATAAATAATTCTTTTTAGAGGTGAATACATTATATATCAAGGTGGAGATATAAATAAGCCAACAATTGAAGAAAGAAAATGGGAAAATAATGAATTCAATTTTGATGATGTTGCCAAAGCAATGTTAACTCTTTTTACTGTTTCTACTTTTGAAGGATGGCCAAAGTAAGAATTTTTTTTTACATTTAGGATATTTTTTTTAAATATTATTAATTATCTTTTATAAACAGAAAAAAAGGTTATTGTTATTCCATAATTTTATAAATTTCAGAAATAATGATAGAATTCATTTAAATTTAGAAATTTTTTTAAATTTTTAGCAGGTGCAAAAAATAATCTAAAAACATTTCAATTTTTTATAAATTAAGTTCAAATAAAGTTTATAATTTTTTGTTAAGGCATACACTACAATGCTAAGGTCAATTGATTTTTCTTGAATGAACCGATTCCTTGATTAAACATGTATTAAGATGTAAACCATAATGCTAACAAAAAAAAGTTAATTGATGTTATCATTGTGATGTTAACCTTAATGTATATATTTATTTAATCATGAAATTAGATCAATGGGTTAGCCCAAACGTTTGTTTAAAAGTGAATTAATTGCTGGTTTGTGGGTAATTGCTTATTTTGTTTAATTTTATACCAGTAATATCGTGATGATTGAAAGTCTAAACCAGATATGGAAAGCTTAGGGGCAGGAGGCCCAATTAACTATATATGAACTTCTGATCTAGACTGGAAGCCATGTGAATTCAATTCAAAAATTTTTCTCTGAATGGAGTTACATAGATAACTTGGCATGACTGTTGTTATCAGAAAAAGTATGATGTACAGGGGCAAGACATTAAAGGAAACCGCTGTTAGTTTGAAATTAGAGATGAAATAATCGCAACCTCAAATTATCCAAGATTTACATATTTCTGTACAATATGCCAAATGCCATGTAATTGATAAGGAAACTAAACATGGCTACATATACAGAATGCTATTTTTGTTAATTAATAATTATTATTAATAATAATAATAATAGAAATTTATTCCATCGCGTATTCGTCCTTTGTTCATTATGATAAGTGAATTTCAATATATTGTTAGGTTAAAATTAATTACCATTGTAATAAGCGGAATATAGGTTTATTTATGGAAGAAACAAAAAGATATCTATGAATTTAGAACCTAATTTATTATTTATTTATTTATTCTATTGTTAAAAGAATAGGAATAAAAACGCGCTAAAAATATCTATTCCTTGGAATTTAGGCTAAATTTAAAATTAAACAAATATTACATATAAAAACAATTAACAAATGAATAATTGATGTATTTCCGGAATTTAAAAACACGGAAGACCTAAAGAATGATAAAATAGAACAATAATATCTCGATTATTATTTTGAATCAAATTGTTTATAAAGTATTGCATGTTCAAAAGTGATTTTTCTTACGGGGAATTAAAAATGAAATTTTAAATTAGCGATTATAAAACAGGAAGTACAGTATAAAACTGGAATTTCTATTCATTTTTTTTTTACTTGTTTAAAATATGCAATCTTATTTTTTAAATTTTGATTATGTTTCGCGGACTCTATTCTTGCTTGAACAGACTTTCACCTCGGTTGATCACTTTAATATTCTCCAAACAACGACAACAAAATGTACAATAATCGTACTAAAGTAGTAATTAATGTATATATATAAAAATGATTGTGTGTGTGTGTGTGTGTGTGTGTGTGTGTGTGTGTGTGTGTGTGTGTCCTTCATGAATTACCACACCGTTTATTCGATTGCCGTGAAACTTTGGGAAGTTGTTTAATATACTCCCGCGAAGGTTTCTGGCATAGTATGATTGCCACTTCATGGCAATCATACTATACTTTGGGAAGTTTTTTAATGCACTCCATTTCTGGCATAGTACATTTATCCTACGATAGATGGTGCGATCCTACGATAGAGTGTATATGAGCATTTCATCGTGAGATCGATGGATTTCAAATTGTGAAGACCATTTCTCTCTCCAAAAAATATCTCTATATATGCATTTGTGAACTGTTATTTACAATATTTGTAATAATTTTTGTTTAATCACTTTATTTCAACTATTTTTTGCTAATTATGTATTTGCTCAAACTTTGTTAAAACCTTAAATGTACCCCGAACAACAACCGAAGTTGTAGGAGGAAATTCGCCTGTTTTACTGATCTAGGGATCCCCCTTTTCCAAATTTTAATATCAACTCAAAATAATTTAAAAAGACAAATTACAATAAAATGGTTTATTATCCAACTATCAGAAATTTCACAACATGCAAAGGAAGAGAGGAAGGAGCAATTAAATAATTAAAATTATAAAGGATTAAAAAAAATATATAAAAATGGGGAATATCGCACTTCTGACAATCGCTGCAAGTGTGTGGGCTAAATTTGGAGAATCCGTGCTTCTCGCATGGACAACTGTATGTGGCCGGCTCACGCGTCGGAAAACCTTCCGATTTATTCGTGTACGCACCAGACGGAAAAACAAAAAATATCGTGTATCCACAAACACTCCAATAAATAAATAGAATTGAAATGACACTTTGAAATGTTTTCCCGATGAAAATGAATAATAATAATAAGTTTCAATAAAAATGATAAAATGTAAATTGAATTTTATCATAACGAGTTTGCTTGAATTTCCTTTCTTCTGAGATCGCAGCAATGCACGACGGGTAAGCTAGTTAAGAATAAACACTGACAGTCAAACTAAGGCTATCATTTTAAATGTGTGTAATTATCTTAATTGTCAAACTTGATGTTACAGCAATAAATCAAAAACAGTGACTTAACATGAAAAACTTAGTCTCTTCATGTAAGTTAATCAAACTTAAAGGTTCGATGTCACATCAATCTTTTTACTAAATTAAAAAAGAAACTTTCACTTTGCCTGAGGATGATGCCTTATAATACATCGAAAGCACTAGCAGCAATATAATGTTATTTAAATGTATTTAACATCTTTTTGTGAAAGTATTTAATGCCTTTCTGTGAAAGTCTCAGTCTTTTAGTGCTCACAGGGTGGAAAAAGTAAAAAAAGAAAAAACACAATAAATTCAACAGTCTGTTTATAAATAGTTTTCTGAAAATGAGGACATTATAAACTGAAATGGGAAGTAAACAGATATTTATCAGCTTTTAATATATAAGTCCAAGTAGAAGTGTCTAATGATAACAACAACAATTAAAGTGTGGATTGACATACAGAAAATGAACAGGAGAGAACCAAGGTGAGGAATGAGTACACATATTTTTGGTGATTTTGGGAAAAATTGCAATAGATGAATATGTCTGGTACATAAAGAACTTTTTGCATTTTCTAGACACACTTGATGATTTTAGACAAAGGAAAAGATGTTTGATGAGTTTATAATTGTGAGTTAAAATTGACAGACAGTCTACATCACTGCAAAACCCATACCCACTATCAAACTTATTTTTGAAATTTTTGTAGGTTGTTACATGAAATATGGTGATTTTACTTCAAAAGATTGCTAACATTTTCATGCAATCTTTGTTCCTATATAAATTAGAGATATTAGTTCAGATGATAGATGTATCAGTTCAGTTTGAACTGATACATGTTTCATCAAATTTAATTTTAATACATTGAATTAATAATGATACAGAAATATTATTTGTTAATCTAATTTTTCTTTTAGCTTTAAATATAATTACAACTATTTTATATTTTTCAGATTGCTGTATGTAGCAATAGATTCTCATGCTGAAAATATTGGTCCTATATACAACTACCAGCCAGTTGTTGCAATTTATTTCATTGTTTATATCATCATCATTGCATTTTTTATGGTGAATATTTTTGTTGGTTTTGTGATTGTTACTTTTCAAAGTGAAGGTGAACAAGAATATAAGAACTGTGAACTTGATAAAAATCAGGTATATCTTTGATATTTCTTATTTAAATACTGTATTATATTTTCATATTTAACAATTTAACAATTAAAGAATTAATTTAAATCAGAGGTTTTGAATGTATTTGCTTGTTGATCCTTTTTCAAACACTACATTTAATTTGCTGATTCCACTTCTATACTGATACAAAATAAAAAATTATAAATATTATAAATAAAGAATCAAATTTTGTATTTTACTTCAATAAAATATAATGATAAGTTTGTCCACCAGTCTCCAAAAATTCCTAGTAATTTATTCTTCCTTCAGATAAATCTTTGGAGGTCATTAGCAATTATGTTGAGAATTCCTGATTTAAATTATATAACATTTTTGTTTACAAAGAAATAAAAAAATTATTTTCTGAGAATTCCAATTTATGGCTTAATAAATCTTTTATTATATTTTAATGTCATTTTTAGAATAAAAAATCTAAACTGAAATTGCTTTTTTGTAAGGTAAAAATTTTGAAAGACCTCTTCAGAAATCTAATACAAGTATACCTCGAGTTACGTCATTCTCAATTATATGTCGTTTGTCAAAAAAATATATGGAAAAATAAAAATCAAGTTTAAGTCATTTTATTCAACTTTACGTCTGTCAACCACAAATATTGAAATCATAATATCACTAGAAAAGTGTTAAAAGCTCATAAAATTATATTAAAATATGTACATTTACAGTAAATGTTAATATAATCATCATAAATCATAGAGAATGAAATGTGAAAATATCTGTGACTCTGTATTGTCATCTTATTTAGTGGTCTTTAAGAGCTCAATATTGGCATTTTCCACGGTAGTTCCAATATCTACTGTTTAATAACTATATTTGTTATTTAACCTTACAAAATCATCTTATTTTATAATGCCTTAGAGCAAACCACATTTACAAATAAAGAGTCTGTGATGTACTGTAAACATCGCCAAATTGTAAACATGTATATTTACAAGTACAGTATGTAGTATGTAGTGTGCATGTATTCATAAATTTAGATTACTTTTTTACCTGTACTATAATAAAAACTAAAATTTATTTGTTTGAAAGCTTAAAATAGATTTTTATTAATCATATATTATTAAAAATGCATTTATAAATAAAATACAGAATTGCGAATGGTTATTTGTGGTTTAGCCTAGTGACAAGTAAATTTGACTTATATCGATTTTCAACTTAAGTCACCATTCTTGGAACCAATTACCAGCGTAAGATGAGGTATACCTGTACTTTCATATTATACAAAAGTTATTCTAAAAGTAAAGAACATTTGTTTCTCTAGATATTTTTATTTAAGATAATGAAACAAAACTTATTTTACAATATATATGATCCCTTAGCTATTTTTCTACATAGTTGCCATACAAATTTAAACATTTGTCATAGACTTTGTCAAATTTAAAATTTAAACATTTGTCAAGAACTTGGCACACTCAGTTACTGCCAAGTTCTTGAACCAGTCATTAATGTCCTCTTCCAGTTTGTTGTCACTTCCATAGTAATTCCTTGCCAAAAAATCCTTCAATTTTGGGAAAAGATGGTAATCACTCAGAGCCAAGTCCGGGCTATAAGGAGGATGTTCAAAAACTTTCCACTTAAACTTCTGAAACAAGTTCTTTGTCAATGCAGCAGCATGTGGACGTGCATTATCCTGAAGAAGCACAATGCCTCTGGACAACAATCCCCGCCATTTGTTTCGAACTGAAACTTCATTCATCACATTACCATAAACCTCAGTTATCTGTGTAAATTTTGATAGGGTTGACGTTTTTCGTATTCAAAAAGCATATTACACTATGAACCTCGCACTTGGCTGGATCTTTAATTTTGTCACACATTTTAAAGTCACACTGCAAACAGTAAACTATTGTTGTGGCTCGCTGTTAGCATCATACTGGTGCAAAAAAATGAGGAGGTCCATGACGCGGCAGTGGTGGTGGTGGGAGAACTGTGCTGTTTGTCAGATCAAAACATTCTTTTCTTTTAGAATGACCCTCATATATTATCTTTGAGAGTCAGCTGAGAAAAAATTTTATTTTTCTACTTGATTCCAAATTTGTGAAGTTTTAAATAGTAATGAAATTATTCAGTTTTAACCATTATTTATTTACATAATTTATTGTTATGGTTTTAATTTCAGAGGAATTGCATTGAATTTGCTTTGAAATCTAAACCAGTCCGTCGTTATATCCCAAAGCACAGATTGCAATACAAAGTGTGGTGGTTTGTTACATCCCAATATTTTGAATATGCTATTTTTATTCTTATTATGGTTAACACTTTAGTATTAGCAATGAAGGTAAGTATTTACAATATTTTTATTTTTTAATATTTGCTAATAATAATTATATATTAATTATTTATTAAAAGTAGATAAATCATTTAATATAACTTTTAATTTAATGGTTTTCAATAAAATAAAATAAAAAAACCATTCAAAAGTCCAGCATAATTCTTTAATAATATAAGAACATTTTCAAACGCATTAAGCATCCATCATCAGTTATTTCTCTAAAATTGAATGAGAAATTCAAAAAATTACGCAAATGAATTTCAAATAAATGGATATGTAATAAATATTAATAAGTAACACGTTATTAATAAAAGTGTTACACACAAAAAAAATTTGGTATGTTTAAAATAATAAATAAATAAATTATCTATCAAGGGTCATCTTAAGCTTAAATGGTTTTTTATTTTATTTTATCGAATTTAGTCTCCAGTAAGCAAGTACTTTTATTTATTAATGGTTTTCTATTATCAAAAATTATTTTATATGTTAATAATGTATGTGTATAATTTATTTATCTGTTACCTTAAAATTATATTTTCAACAATGTACGCAGAACCAATAACCACAGTGCACAGAAACAAAATACAAATGCAAACGTTTTCAAACTCCACCAGAGTTTGAAAATGTTCATAGTTCAATGTTCTGGTACATATCAGTGGGGTCGTGTGATCTTTTTCTTTACAAAAGTACAGCATACAAGGCATTAGTCAGGAGAGCTTTTACACATTTCTATATTCCCCAGGCTTGTGCTGCCTAATTAATATTTATAGAGTTCATAGTCAATGTATATGGTTACCACAATGTTATACATGAGCTGATTGAACATTATCACTGGACACACATAGGTTTCACCTCCATAGTGGACTTGCTAAGAGATAACCAAACCAAGGACATGGAATGGGACCCTATCACCTTTAACCTGTATTTAAAATTATTGTATTTTGAAATTGCCAAGAAACATTGGATGCATATCACTCTCAGGAAGTGCACGACTATTTTTGACATGCTTTGTAATAGGAAAGACCCTCCCAACCCAAACAGACTCCCTAGCATATATAGTGTCCTCATTACAGACAATAGATGCAATAGGGATCTGATATACATTGGGTCAACTAAGCACTCCATGAGAATCGGATTACAAGAGTATCTTAATGATATATAACATGCGAGAACTACCATGGCCCTCTCTACATACACTACAGATTCTGATATTGTAGTGGACTTTAACCGAGCCAAACTCATCCTCGCTTTACCTCCATGGAACACCTCAGATGGTTGGAGGCCGTGCAGATATTTAAATCTAATTTTACATCAATGTGCATAAATTACAAAGTGGAGATGGTTTTGCTGATGGCCTGGCAAGTGTTGATTAACAAAATGGTTTAACCATTTGTTGTCCCAGTTGGGCTACTGAGTGTGCAGGTGTGACATGGGTTTTTAAATTTTTGTGCTTGTAATTTGAAAGCTTGTTTCAATTTTGTATTCCAGAAAAAGCTTTTATGACATTCCATTGAGTGTTTTTTATAATGCCTGAAGAAGAACTCTAGTGCAGTTTGAAAATGTTTGCATTAGATTTTTGTTTCTGTGCACACCAGTTATTAGTTCTGGGTACATTGTTAACTATATCCCAGTGTGGTGTAGAGTTGTTTATTAATTTTTCAAATAATGAATAATGAATGTATTGAATTGTACTGTAATATATTTTACTATTATAATTAATTATATTTAAAATTAAATACTAATAAAATTGAATACTTGCCTTTTAAATAATTATGTAAAAAAACACTAGTTGAAAATTAATTTTAATTTCATTAGCATTGGCTTATAAGTAAATAATTACAATTAGATTTATTAAATAAAAAATATAAAGATATGAAAATGGTTAAAATAAATGATATTTTTTTTATACATCTGTAATAAATTATTTGAAACAGAGTAAAATTTAATAAGCATTTTTAAACTCCGAAATAGTAAAAATTAAAAAAAAAATATATATTGATTTTTTGAATTTAGACTCATTTATTAAATCTTATTTTGTTTCATTTAAAATTAGAGTTGTTTTAGTGATGAAACTTATGTTTTATAAAGTTAATTTTTTCAATTAACTATTCAGTTTAAAAGTTACATTTTTTAACTATCTATCCACCACATTCCCAGCAAATAATTCACTTCAGTTTCAACAACACCTAATTTTTTGCTGAGTTTAAAATTTGTTTATTTTTACAAACGTTTTCAACCTATTTACTTAAGGCCATCATCAGGTTTACTATAAATGTTCTGAAATAGAACATATCTTTTTCAAACATTTTACATTTTTAAAATTCAAAAATAATTTAATTTTAAAATAAACTGAACGAAGTGTATATATTAAATAAATAAAATAAATAAACAAATAAAACATAGTAAGCAAAGCTGACTATAAAGAAACATGCTTAAAGAGTTTTTCATTCTCATTCTTTTTTCTATTATATATTTCCATGCTGTTGGAAGCGCATTAGCATCCCTAGCATTTAGGCAATGGTTTTTTTATTTTACTTTTATAAATTTTCACCTTTTCCATCTCCAACACAATGGATGAAGGGTGCACTGTTTTAATGACTTTCGCCTCTTTCTATTTTACACCGCTCCTTCAATCTGTGCCATAATCGCTAATATTGTGTTGTTGTGTCCTTTGTCAATGTTGTATCTATGCTCTCACAGAGGAGGTGTGGTGAATGAATTAGTTTCTTATGAAGATTTGAGAATGGTCTATAAAAGAGACCCAATTTCTATAGCTTACTATGGAATGATAAAGACAGAGTAAAAAATGATGAGAAAGTTGGAGTATATGAAATACCATTTGAAAATCAACAGTTAGGAATTGAAAAAGATTATGTGGGTGTGACTAGAAGAAACTTGGCAGTACGTCTGCAAGAGCATAGATACAATGTTGACAAGGGACACAACAACACAATATTAGCGATTATGGCACAGACTGAAGTAGTGGATGTAAAATGGGAAGAGGCAAAAGTCATTAAAATGGTGCACTCTCCATCCATTGCGTTGGAGATGGAAAAAGTGGAAATTTATAAAAGTAAAATAAAAAAACCATTGCCTAAATGCTAGGGATGCTAATGCGCTTCCAATAGCATGGAAATATATAATAGGAAAAACAATGTGACTGAAAAACTCTTAAAGCATGTTTCTTTATAGTCAGCTTTGTTTACTATGTTTTATTTGTTTACTTTTGTTTATTTATTTTATTTATTTAATATACACACTTCTTCAGTTTATTTTAAAATTAAATTATTTTTGAATTTTAAAAATGTAAAATGTTTGAAAAAGATACGTTCTATTTCGGAACATTTTTAGTAAATCTGATAATGGCCTACAGTAAATAGGTTGAAAACATCTGTAAAAATAAATGAATTTTAAACTCAGAAAAAATTTGGTGTTGGTGAAACTGAAATTAAATTTTTTAAATTAAAATTTTAATAAGTGATAATTATTATAATATGTATTAAAATGTGTCAAAAATTTTGTATACATGATAAATTTTAATGTAATACCATTATTTACATTTTTAATATGTAATAAATTAATACATTATTTAATTAAATGTTTTTTTTATAATTATTTTTGTTATTTAGTATTATGGTCAACCAAATGTCTATACACAAAGTCTTGATGTCATGAATATGATCTTCACTTCAGTGTTTGCCTTTGAATTTCTATTGAAATTAATGGCTTTCCGCTTCAAGGTATTTTAAATTTAGTATTTATATATTTAAATTATATTATTATAATTATTTATAAAACTCATCAAACAATGTCATAAAACTAAGATTGTAAGTCAAATATTTTAAGAAATTATATTTTAACCTTTCAACAGTGGTATAGTCAGGTATGGTGCTATCCCTAGTAGTGGAGTATAAACATGGGAAATTTTTAAAGTATTTTTCCACACGTTTTTTCTCATTACCGTTTCAGAAAAATATTTTGTAAACAGTTATATCTAGTAAAGAAAAGTCTTTTTTTATTGTTACATAATTCATTTTTATGTGAATTTTTTTCACAGTAGTTTTTGGCGATACCCCCAAAAGAATTTAATGGATATATATGTCCTTCACCACTGCCACACAATTGCCCTGGACGGATATATCTATCCCTCACTGTCAAGTGGTTAACAAAAATAGTGTGGATATTATTTAGAAAAAAACAGCTTTAGCTCTATTAATGATTAAATATAACAAATTTAATAAATAGTGAAAAGAAATCAAGTACATCAATGTAATTCAATCTAAATTAATCAATGCATTATTAAACAATGCAAAAATTAAACAGTACTTGAAGTTTAAATGATGCTTATGTATTCAATCCCATACCATCATGAAAGGATTGGCCAACATGGTGTTGGCTATCTACACCTCCAACCCCAACATCAATGTTGAATTCCGCAAAGCACGCCTCTTACATAGCTCTTCTAGTCAACTCTTTCGAGCGGGTGGAAATATATAAGGCCACCCACAATAACACTGCTATTAATTTTTGCAATGTTGACTCCTTCCCCAAAGTGTGGGGATCGAGGGCCATCGAAAATTAGATTATGCAAGTTTTGGGTAGGGTCCTGCCACCAGGTGTTTTGTTGGACACACCTCCGATTTAGACAAAAAAACAAATAGTTAAGGCATGATGGTAAGAGTCACTCCGAAGTCCAGGAATGATCCTCTCAGGAGGATGAATGCAAAGTCAAGTACAAATGAAGAAGTTTATTACCAAAAAACTAAATTATAAAATCCGATTTAGGAAGTTGGCCTAATCTATGAAACGGTGGGGGTATCTGAACTGCGCAACACACAACATACCAGGAAAAGAGTTGTCTTCTCTTCTTTCTTTACTTTCTCTGCATGTACTCTTCTCCTTTTCATCTTTCTCCTTTACTCAGTTCTGCCCGTGGTCCTTCACTAAGTCTGTCACTCAGCTGCTTTTTCCATTTCTCACTGAGTTGTTCCATCCTCTAAGTCCGACTCCCCATTCTGGGTTAAGTTGCTCAGTCAGTCAGTCAGTCCCCTGTCTGGCTAGTCAGTCAGTCTATTAATCCAGTCTGTCAATTTTGTCATTTCTTTCTGTTTTATTCTTTGTTTTTGACCAATCATGCTTTTGTTGAGGAAGGTGAAGTAATTTGTAAAAAACAAGATTGGTTATCCAGTGGTCTTCCTCCTCCTCTATTCTCAATGAAAAATAAAATACATCCATGTGACATGTATAGCATATCATTGGTCACCCAACACCATCGAAAAAGGGTAAAATGATGGTCATCCCCCTCATCTTTTCCTTTGCATGTTGTGAGATTTATAACAGTTAATTGATAATTTTTTTTATTCTAATTTGTTTCTCTAAATTATTTTAAATTGATATTACTAAAAATTTTGGAAAGGGGGTCCCTAAAATTGGAAAAATAGGCGAAATTCCTTTACAATGTTGATTGATAGATAAACAGTTTTGGTGTCACATTTACATATGCATCTTTGAGATGTGGGTCCAAAGAGCATCCTAATAGCTAATAGTTGTTCTTTACACAACCAGACAGAACAATAAAAACGGATATAAAATACACATAGAGTTTAAAATGCAATAAAATTTTTAACTGATTAATTGAAGTGAATACATTATTAACTAAAAGATTAGAATAAAGTGATTAAAATTACACAGATAACGTAAATAACAATTTATGAAGCATGCACACGCGCACACACACACACACTATATATATATATAAATATATATATATATATTAATAACAACAAATTTTGGAGGTGGAAATGGTAGGCCTCAGAACAGCATGGAAGTCTTTCTTCAAACTATAAATCTTACTTCTCCCCTTTCTCTCATCGTTCATTACCTCTCTTTTGTATACATGTTCAGCAATCTCCCATCCCATCCCATTTGTTTCAGCATTTGGGGATTAGTTTGCCTGATGATGGATGTTAAACATGTGCGAAAACATTTGCAATTTTTATAAAAATTGCTGGTTTATAGGTGTAGTGTTTTTACTTATGTCTCATATATTCAATATTAAAATTAAAGATATAGTTTATGAGTTTATTTTATAATGCTTTATTTTTTTGATCAAATGTTTGTTTTGTATTCATTTTTTTTATCTTATATTTATTTTTGACAAGACTATATCTTGTTTATAAAATCGTACTGCCTGCTGTGTTACCAGCTTAGATGTATGAAGGAGTACATGTCAGGAATTGCAATTTGGCACAGAGTATTAGATGCCAAAATCATGCACACATACAAAAACCAGACTTGTAGGTACTCAGGAGACTGAGAACTGAGTCAAAATAAAATACAAAATGGCGACTCTCTCTACAAACAGGCAAAGCAAAGTCATGTGGTGAGAGTACCACCCACAGTCGTTCTAGGAAGTGGAGGACTCTGACCCTACAACTGAACACGTAGTATTTTCTTTGTTAAATAAAATTTGTAATCTAATTTTGTAAATTTGGGAGTGCTTCAAATATGACATTAAAACAGGGTTTTATGTCATTACAAGTATGTTTTTTTAACATTATCTAGTATAGTAAAATTGTGGGACCGAAAAAAATTTGACTTTATATTAGGGTTGTCGTTATGGATTAAACTGTATATTGTTTGTGCAAAATAAAAAAATAATTTCAGACGATACAATAGCCATGATTATTTTTTTCAAAAATGGGACATTTTTGTTACACATCGACAAAAATTTAACCCAGGCCAACACGCAACGGAGAGAAATTTCGAAATTGGATAGGTTAATTTCATTGAAAATGCATCATGGACAATCTCATGGTTGTGGCCAGCAAAGTTTGAATGATCACGTCCAAAAGCAGCAATACCAAAGAAGATTGGAGAATAAGAACAAGAGCCGTCTTGAGTGTCAAAGTGATTCTGCTTAGTAGTGAGTCTCTGAGACATATTCTTGTCCCAAATATGGTTTTGTCATTTTACTTGTTTAATGTAATTTTAAGCAGTTGGAATCAAACCTAATTTATTTGACCATTAAGTACTTGGATAAAACAATTTTTATTAATGTTATAAAAAAATAATTTAAAAGTTTTCTTTTTTGGTAATTTTCTTTATTGAAGATATTATGTACAGTACTTTATGCTGTATGAATAATTGTTAATCCAGAACCTATAATCTGTAATGTCTGGTAATCTGGCACTCTGTGAAAAACAGTTAATAATCTAGGATTGGTCAATAATAATCTAACCTACTATTAGTACATGAACCAGAACTCATTTGAACATATATATTGAAAAACATGTTCATCAATGTTTTTGCAAGTTTTCAATCAACTTTAACACACTATAGAATATTCAGACTAATTAAAGAGTATTTATAAACAAATCAAAAGCATAGAGCAGCATATTCTGGTACAAAATGTACAGTAATGTCTTCAATGTTTAGGCAACTGTACATATAACTTACCAGATTTTGCAAAATTACAAAAATGTCCAGTAATCTGGCATTTTTAATAATCAATACCATTTGATTCAAGGTGCTGAATTAGCAAACTTCTACTATAATTAATTTTAAAGATTACAATTTTAATCTTTATTAAAAATTTAATAATTGTTAATTTTTAAATATATAATAATTTTATATTTGACAGAATTATTTTGGTGATGCTTGGAATGTATTTGATTTCATCATTGTTCTTGGTAGCTTTATTGATATTGTTTATTCTGAAGTCAATGTAAGTAAAGAGGATAAAGTTTTGTTCGTACATTTGTTAAAATTAAAACATTCTAATAACTGAAACATTTAATATTTCAGCCAGGAACAAATATCATTAGTATCAACTTTTTTCGTCTGTTTCGTGTGATGCGTCTCATAAAACTTTTGAGTCGAGGAGAAGGCATTCGCACATTATTATGGACATTCATCAAATCATTTCAAGTAAATTTATATGAAATATTTGGATTATTTATTTATAAATTTTTAAAATATTTGTTTACATTGTTCTCAATATAGATATTTCTGAAATTATATGAAATATATTTTTTTAATAGAATTTATGTAAATATTTTTCACTTTTAGTAACTGTTTTAATAGTCTTAATCAAATAATTTATAAATAAAAGATTCTTTCTTAAAAGTTAATAGCACAAAAATAGATATTTTATTTTACATAATATAAATTATCATTAAATAAAGATGAAATTTAGACATTTTGAAAAAAACTTCATTAAGAATTAACTCAACAATGATTACAAAATTGGTTAAAATGATCAGAAAAGATCATGAATTTACAAGAATAAAAGAATAAGTTGTTAGTGTATTATTTCTTATTATATTATTTTTTCATTTTTATTTCAAATATTTTTATATACTTCTTTTATATTTATATTTTCTTGATTTTTAATATTAATTTTAATTAAATGTAATGAGAACTAATAATTTGATGGCTGGGTGATCACATTGTTAAAGCCAACTACTCTTGGGGACCCAAAATCAAATGTAAGCAAATTAACCCAAAAATTTTTCACAAGTCTGTTGGTAGAAAAAGCTGAAAAAGCCTAACAATTTTTAATTTTAAAAATATGTGAAATAGTTAATTGGAAATTACTATTGATCTAAAAAAACAAAACCTTAAATATTGGTCCAACTATTTTTAATCTGGTAATGTTTTTAACCTTATTCAGAGGCTTTATGATGCCTTTTGAATGTGATCCATACTTAACAAATTAGAATTAAAATTGTAAAGTATCATCGCCAGGGAAGGTTTCTCTAATCTACATTTTCCAGCACCTATTTGTGGATAAAAGCTGAAGCACCCTCAAGAAGTATGGATAGAAAACAGAAGACATCCTTATGTCACCAGTTCCTTTTTCAGAAAATCCTTATATTTTTAATTGGGAAAATTTTTATATCTTTTTAAAGGACTTTTTAGTATTTTGGCAGCTAGTAGAAAGGAAGGTTGGTCACTGAGATTGTACACTCTGCAACATGAAATTAATAAATGATGGTCCCTATTTGGGTGGACTTTGTCTTAAAATACAGTGGTGCCTCGTATAATGTATGCCTCGAATAACAGACACTGTGAACAACAGACCTCTGTTTGGCCATTACATGACTCAAGCAATGGACTGGCTGCGAACAATGGACTTTCCGTTTGGCAGTTATGTGAGGCGAACAACGGTCTTTCTGCGAACAAGTGTGAATGATTTTTCCACTCTTTTGCCGTTGCCAATGACAATCGGCTATTTTTATAACACATTAGTATTATTAGAATATATTATTGTTATATCTGAAGTACAGAGCTCCCGTTGGGATTCGGCTTGCTCCCTTGTTTATTACATACATCACCTCAGTGCAGGGTATTTAATTTATTCAAGTGTTGTGCAAATCATGGCTTCTAAAAAAACAGAAAGGTGATTTCAATTGAAACAAAGCAAGACATCATCAGAAGGAGTGAAAGTTGACAAAAACTTCCTTGTCAAATGGAGAGAGGTTTAGGAGTTTACCAACACTCATTATCCAAACAGAACTGAGGCCAACAGGATCAATGATCTCTACAATGACACCCTTGCCCGTCATTTCCGACAGGTGTTGAAGANTGTAAAGTATCATCGCCAGGGAAGGTTTCTCTAATCTACATTTTCCAGCACCTATTTGTGGATAAAAGCTGAAGCACCCTCAAGAAGTATGGATAGAAAACAGAAGACATCCTTATGTCACCAGTTCCTTTTTCAGAAAATCCTTATATTTTTAATTGGGAAAATTTTTATATCTTTTTAAAGGACTTTTTAGTATTTTGGCAGCTAGTAGAAAGGAAGGTTGGTCACTGAGATTGTACACTCTGCAACATGAAATTAATAAATGATGGTCCCTATTTGGGTGGACTTTGTCTTAAAATACAGTGGTGCCTCGTATAATGTATGCCTCGAATAACAGACACTGTGAACAACAGACCTCTGTTTGGCCATTACATGACTCAAGCAATGGACTGGCTGCGAACAATGGACTTTCCGTTTGGCAGTTATGTGAGGCGAACAACGGTCTTTCTGCGAACAAGTGTGAATGATTTTTCCACTCTTTTGCCGTTGCCAATGACAATCGGCTATTTTTATAACACATTAGTATTATTAGAATATATTATTGTTATATCTGAAGTACAGAGCTCCCGTTGGGATTCGGCTTGCTCCCTTGTTTATTACATACATCACCTCAGTGCAGGGTATTTAATTTATTCAAGTGTTGTGCAAATCATGGCTTCTAAAAAAACAGAAAGGTGATTTCAATTGAAACAAAGCAAGACATCATCAGAAGGAGTGAAAGTTGACAAAAACTTCCTTGTCAAATGGAGAGAGGTTTAGGAGTTTACCAACACTCATTATCCAAACAGAACTGAGGCCAACAGGATCAATGATCTCTACAATGACACCCTTGCCCGTCATTTCCGACAGGTGTTGAAGAAGAGAGAGAAACAGACCATGTTGGACATGTTTTTCAAGAAGCAAGCTGCCAAAAAAAAAGGATGGAACAAGAGGAGATGATTCTGCAAGCTCTGGTAGCCTCTCCTGAATCTGACTCCAATTAAAAAACAATAAAAAGAGACCTACTGCAATGTGTAAAAAGTCTGTATCTGTATGAATGTGTAAAGAAAGTGTTCCTCCACCTCCTTCTCACAACATCTGACTACCCAGCATAATTGGTGACTACTCCATTTTCATTTTTTTTATGGTACAGTACGGTTATTTTATGCTGCGGAACGAATTATATGTTTTAACATGCATTTCTATGGGAAAATGCATTTCCTATAATGGACTTTTCATTTAATGGATGTGCACCTGGAATGGATTAAGTACATTATACGAGGCACTACTGTACTTAACTTATATTAAAAATAAATAACTATTTAGAGAATCTAATTATGCATTATTTTAAGTTTTAAAATTATTTTTTAACTTTCTAGTTCTAAATTCTTTATAAAAACCCTGTAAATGTGTTTTCTTTTTTTATATACTAAATAAGATGTGAAACTACTAGTCCAATTAAAACAAATTTTGATTGTTAAAAAAGGCTAAATATAAATTTAGTCTTTTAATAACAATATAATTTTTATGTAGAAAACAAGTATATGTTTGAATTTGAACATCGTTAAATTTCTTTTTTTGAACTTGTTCTGTCAAAACTCTTGATGATCTATAAATCAGAATGAAAATGTTCAGGAAACATTAAGATTGCTGTTATATTTATGTAGTCATTTGTTTGTTTATAATGAAAGTGAAGCATAATTAGTTCTTAAATTATATAATTATATTTTAAAAATTTCTTATATGTTGCAGAAAATTAATATGCTTAATTATATTATAAAATTAAAAATATTGTAATTTAACAGAAAAAATTATAATTCTTGAGACTATACATACAGCATGAGCCAATTTCTTTTGGTCCCTTCACATGCTATTGAGGTAATAACAATTCCACGGTGGGGTCAACCTTTTATTATAGGCTACTCGTCTGCCATACAATGCAAAAAAGTTAAAATAGTCCTTTAGCAGTGTCACAAAGATAAAATTAATAAAAACGTTTTTTAAAATTTTGGAATTGTTATTACCTCAACAGCATATGAAGGGAATGAAAGAAATTAACTCATCTTGTATGTATAGTTTCAAGAAATATAATTTTTTCTGTTAAAGTAAATTTGTCCGGGCAATTTTTTAAAAATATTGTTTTTTACACTTTTTTCAGGCACTTCCGTATGTCGCACTTCTTATAGTGATGTTATTTTTTATATATGCTGTTATTGGTATGCAGGTAAGATGAAATTTGGAAATTATATTAGCTTTTTTATTACTAATTTGAAATCTCATATTGTCAAGCTAATATAGATATAGTTATCGATGTAAATACACAAAACACAAACAAATTGAAGTTATGCTATGCTATCCATATTACCATACATTTGCTCTTTATTTATCATTTCAAACAAAACAAATGACTAGTTCAATACTCTTGTAAGTTTTTATTTCTCAACTTGAAGTTAAGTTAACATCAAATGTGATACAAACAATAATCAGAGGGTATTCAAATATTACACAATGCTTTAAGTTCCCATTACAATCAGTTGTTTTGTCTTTTTGTGACAATTACGTATTAGTCTAATCTGCAAATTTTCTTACATGGGAGAGGAAAATTGAAAAATACAGGTGAGAGGAGACACTAATGAGAGAAGTTCTTCAAATGTTTATGTTGCATAATCGTTGCCTTATCTTGGTCATCTCGTTGATTGGAGCAGAGTCCATTAACTCTCGTAATTCTTCCCTTGCACAGTCACATCGTCACTGGTTGCCTTCGTGTTCTTCCTGAAATGGCACTGAAAATAAAAGAGAGTCTCTCTCTTAACCACAAGTCAATATATACCCTCTCCTTCTCCCCTACTGGGTTTATTGTCCCTCCAGGCAATAACAGGTAAATAAACGCTTCGTAACTGACAATTTAATTTTACAGAAATGTTCAGAAATGATAAGCGATTGTCTCACTTTAATATATTTGTAAAAATGAAATTGTAGAGGAAAGCTTTATATTTATTAAATCAAGTATTACGAACGCATTAAAGTTTAACATTATGAGCTCTTTAAAATGCTTTTAATAAATTCAGTTTTAGAATTAGCTACCAAATATTTTTATCATATTTTAAGAACAATGCATTACTTATTATTATTATTTCAATAATATGAGCAAAATTTGTTATTAATACAAAATTTCAAGCATTAAAAATATACATTTTGTCAATTAAAAGGATTTTTATTTCAAACATCTTTAGAATTTTAGTTTATTACCATAAAAGAATCATAATATGAAATTTAAATATATTAAGACCTTTAACTATTTCATTTAGAAAATTGGCAATTAGAAACTAAATTTGTAAGCTATTGTAAGCTTAGAAACTATTTTTAAGTAATTGTAAATTTACAAGTAATTATGATTTTGTAAATATCTGTTTTATGTTGATTATGTTATTTAATAAAGGTTTTTGGAAGAATTGCTTTAAACCCCGAATCACCTATTAATAGAAACAATAATTTTCAAACTTTTCCTCAAGCAGTTCTAGTATTATTTAGGTAAGTTAATTTAAACTAACTACAATATTTTAAGAGATCAATTAGTATTTTGATTTAAAATTCAATATAATTTTAATTATTTTGCATTTAAGGTTATATGCATAAAATTCATTATGTTAGATTATTCTTTCAATTGCTGCTTAAATACATATAAAAAGAGAAAAATATTTTTTAACATGATATATGTTAAAAATTTATTGATTCTATAATGTAATTGCGATGGCTTATAAGAGATTTAATATTTAAATTTCAGAAAAATTTACCGATAGCTATGAAAATTAATTGTGACTAAGATCTATAGACTATAGTTGAATAAATCTTACACAAATCTTCAGAATTTTTCTGAAAATCTGAACTTAGAAATGTAATACAATATTTTGAATCTTTCCTTCTAATTCTACTTTTTCTAGTAACTGTTTAATTACTGAATATATAATATGAAATGTTATAGTTATTAATAAAGTCATCCATTTTGACATCTTTACATGTGAAGACATTTTAAATTATCTGCTATCATAATGTCTAAATCCATCAAGACAGTTTAACAAGAATGAGTAACCATAGTGAGAATTAAGCAATATTCACTAGTTTTATTTCTAATTAAAGATTGTCATAATATTTCAAGAGTAATTTCCTTGATTATTTTAAATTTTGTACCAGAAAACTTTTGGTTTATTTGCTATTGCGAATTTTATTGTCTCTACTAATTATTTTCATAAAGAATCAGTAGAGCTTATGCAGACTTTATATTTATATTGCAAACAATACAGGGTGTTGCCTAAAAAGTGATCCAGTGTGAGAATTAAAGATGTACGAGACAAATAGTTCCAACGAATATCACTTAAACAATAATTTATTACAACAGGGATTAACAGGTATACAGAAATGCCCGTCAGAGACAAATACACGAATATACAACAGGTCTCTACTCTCGTCCGGAATCTTACAAAAATTTTAATTACCACGATATAGGGTCTAATCACTAACTTATAATTAACTTATATCTAACTTAATCTAATACTATACTAATAAGAGGAAAAGGAAGGAAAGAAAGAAAAGGTCTACCGGTAGTTATCACAGGAGGTCCTGATGGTGGTTTCCGATAAATGCGGGGGTTTTCTCGGCCGACTTTGGTATATTAAACATTCCTAGTATGAAATTTGGCACTTAGTATTCGTAGACTACTATCTCTCATCAATCAAGTCGCTAGTCCCTTTCTCTTCTCTGTGGACTACGCTCAACTTCGTACATTGGGCTGGTTCTTTGTCTTAAGACTGACTTATTGTCCCGACGATATTTTCTTAACCCGCTCTCCTCGTCGTTCAGGCAAAAAGTGTCCTTCTCACCCCACGGGCAGGGCCGCGCCCTGTTCACGTCGGTAAGCCACCAATCAGGACCCACGAAATTCCCGCTCCTGATCGGGTGACCGGAAATGGTCATTAGTATGAAGAAGAAGGAAGGAAAAGAACAAAGAATCTTAAATCTAAATACTATAACTATGTATATACAAAATGGCGGACAGCCACACCAGACTAATAGCACAGAAATAACTGTCATATTTATGTAAAAAATGCTTGCTTTCATACATTATTGAAAATGGACTACTCATTAATACATCAATGACTTTTCCCTATCTCTCAAAAAAAGAGGGAGTAAAATTTATCTCAGTTTCTACTGCACATAGAACTACAGTTCCAATTGTAAAGTTGTAGAGTAGGTCAAAGTTAATACATTCCACATTTTTTTCAGTTAAAAATTGATAAAGAGGGTGTACCACATACTCCCAAAAATTTGAAGGGCTGTGTAAATTTGGTTTTCCTGTAATGCTGAGCTGCTGTGTGTTTGCTTCGCAACCTTTAATTATTTTGTGATAAGCAAGCCGTTAATGAAGAAAATATTTTGGTTTCATTTTAGTGAAATCAAAATGTGTTGAAAATGTATTAGAATAAATGAAAAAGAATAAAACATATTTTCCAGATCACAAACACATACACAAAAAAATCACTGTATCAAGTTCTACATCAAAACATAAACACTTCCAAGAAATCACTCAAACTTGTCTCTATTAACAAGCAACACATATATTCATTCAATTGTTGAATATAGAAAATTATGCTTGGAGTGAGTGTTTGATAGACCTCATAATTTACTTTTCAAGATCTTCAGCATCCAATATTGGCATTTTGTATACACAATTTTTAAAATATCCCCACAAAAAAATCCATAGGCTTAAGATCATGAAATCTTGGTGGCCACTTCAATGAACCATGTGGGCCAATCCACTGTTCTCCAAGCCTCTAAATATTTATTATTTTATAAACCTATTGATTCTACAAATTCATTTCTTATTCGTAACAGGTCATCTTTCTACAACAGTAATTGTATTCTTTTTCCTTGAAACTTTTTGTCTTTTTATTTTACATATTCCCTATCAGTTCTGTTACTTTGTCATTAGTGACATAAATGTAAGTCCTTTTCCATGTCAAAAATCCTTTAAAATATGATTAAATATTATCAGATTCAGAAGTTTTGTAATAAGCAAAATTTTTAACATCTCTTCAGCATCAATTCTCTGAGGAACAAAAATATTCAAAAAACTACTCACAAAATCTGGATTTGATGAATGACATGAAAAGAAACCTTATTTTTATAACAGCAAACAATTTTAAAGATTAGACAAACTATTAATAGGCCAATATCAGGACAATGTACAGTACTTATATATTCTATTTTTAGAATATATATGAGTTCTAACACAAATGTTACAAAATTTGGAAGATTTTTGAAATTCATCAGTATTATACTGTATGAAATTGCACATCATTACATAATTTGTTAATTTGGTCAAGATTTAAATGAGAGGTTTATTTTGATGTTACAAATATAAATTTTTTTTTAAATTAAAAACTNATTTATAAAACTCATCAAACAATGTCATAAAACTAAGATTGTAAGTCAAATATTTTAAGAAATTATATTTTAACCTTTCAACAGTGGTATAGTCAGGTATGGTGCTATCCCTAGTAGTGGAGTATAAACATGGGAAATTTTTAAAGTATTTTTCCACACGTTTTTTCTCATTACCGTTTCAGAAAAATATTTTGTAAACAGTTATATCTAGTAAAGAAAAGTCTTTTTTTATTGTTACATAATTCATTTTTATGTGAATTTTTTTCACAGTAGTTTTTGGCGATACCCCCAAAAGAATTTAATGGATATATATGTCCTTCACCACTGCCACACAATTGCCCTGGACGGATATATCTATCCCTCACTGTCAAGTGGTTAACAAAAATAGTGTGGATATTATTTAGAAAAAAACAGCTTTAGCTCTATTAATGATTAAATATAACAAATTTAATAAATAGTGAAAAGAAATCAAGTACATCAATGTAATTCAATCTAAATTAATCAATGCATTATTAAACAATGCAAAAATTAAACAGTACTTGAAGTTTAAATGATGCTTATGTATTCAATCCCATACCATCATGAAAGGATTGGCCAACATGGTGTTGGCTATCTACACCTCCAACCCCAACATCAATGTTGAATTCCGCAAAGCACGCCTCTTACATAGCTCTTCTAGTCAACTCTTTCGAGCGGGTGGAAATATATAAGGCCACCCACAATAACACTGCTATTAATTTTTGCAATGTTGACTCCTTCCCCAAAGTGTGGGGATCGAGGGCCATCGAAAATTAGATTATGCAAGTTTTGGGTAGGGTCCTGCCACCAGGTGTTTTGTTGGACACACCTCCGATTTAGACAAAAAAACAAATAGTTAAGGCATGATGGTAAGAGTCACTCCGAAGTCCAGGAATGATCCTCTCAGGAGGATGAATGCAAAGTCAAGTACAAATGAAGAAGTTTATTACCAAAAAACTAAATTATAAAATCCGATTTAGGAAGTTGGCCTAATCTATGAAACGGTGGGGGTATCTGAACTGCGCAACACACAACATACCAGGAAAAGAGTTGTCTTCTCTTCTTTCTTTACTTTCTCTGCATGTACTCTTCTCCTTTTCATCTTTCTCCTTTACTCAGTTCTGCCCGTGGTCCTTCACTAAGTCTGTCACTCAGCTGCTTTTTCCATTTCTCACTGAGTTGTTCCATCCTCTAAGTCCGACTCCCCATTCTGGGTTAAGTTGCTCAGTCAGTCAGTCAGTCCCCTGTCTGGCTAGTCAGTCAGTCTATTAATCCAGTCTGTCAATTTTGTCATTTCTTTCTGTTTTATTCTTTGTTTTTGACCAATCATGCTTTTGTTGAGGAAGGTGAAGTAATTTGTAAAAAACAAGATTGGTATCCAGTGGTCTTCCTCCTCCTCTATTCTCAATGAAAAATAAAATACATCCATGTGACATGTATAGCATATCATTGGTCACCCAACACCATCGAAAAAGGGTAAAATGATGGTCATCCCCCTCATCTTTTCCTTTGCATGTTGTGAGATTTATAACAGTTAATTGATAATTTTTTTTATTCTAATTTGTTTCTCTAAATTATTTTAAATTGATATTACTAAAAATTTTGGAAAGGGGGTCCCTAAAATTGGAAAAATAGGCGAAATTCCTTTACAATGTTGATTGATAGATAAACAGTTTTGGTGTCACATTTACATATGCATCTTTGAGATGTGGGTCCAAAGAGCATCCTAATAGCTAATAGTTGTTCTTTACACAACCAGACAGAACAATAAAAACGGATATAAAATACACATAGAGTTTAAAATGCAATAAAATTTTTAACTGATTAATTGAAGTGAATACATTATTAACTAAAAGATTAGAATAAAGTGATTAAAATTACACAGATAACGTAAATAACAATTTATGAAGCATGCACACGCGCACACACACACACACTATATATATATATAAATATATATATATATATTAATAACAACAAATTTTGGAGGTGGAAATGGTAGGCCTCAGAACAGCATGGAAGTCTTTCTTCAAACTATAAATCTTACTTCTCCCCTTTCTCTCATCGTTCAT